TTTCTTTCAAGGAACCCAAGGTTCTGCGGAAGAAAAAAAAACCCAACTATGGAATTTCCCAGCCGTTTTCCTCTTTTTCCGGGGAAAGCGAACAAAAGTTGCAAGTCCAAAATGACCGAGTATCCTTGGGGGAAACGCGAGGAGGGGGCTTAGTGGATCGGACTGAAACACTTTGCACAAAATGGCTGCCAGCCAGTTTTAAGTTTTGTTTGCTCTCTCCCCCAACGCTTTTAGCCACCTCCAGCTTTTCAACCTCCCAAAAAAAAAGCAAGCAGCCAAAACGTTGCTTTTGTTATTTGCGTGACATTTTTCCGTTCTGGAAAACTTGTGAGGATAACGGGAAAGCGGAACGGTTGGGTCGCCAAATGGAGACGGAGGAAAACTATGACAAAAGATTGTAGTGGCAAAAGTTTGCAGCAACGTTAATTAATTTTGCTTTCGCCGGACCTCCCAGAGAGTGAGGAGAGTTCGCAGTTCAAGCGGTTCGCCAAGCCACGATCCAATTATATGGCACTAATGAAGTGCCTCAAGTTGAAGGTTTTCAGGGGGAAAGTGTAAAGTGATTCAGTATACTTGAGGTCAGGGGGGAATATATAGCCAACAAGATCGGTATTCGATTAAGCTAAGTTATTTTTTACAAGTTTTAAAATTAAATTCAATACTTGAGGACTTCAGGACTTGAACTCACTGCCTTTGGGAACGTTTTATTCAATACCCCTTCCCTCTTGTTTATATTTTCACCCGAAAATTCCCTAAACTGAAACATTATCTTCGGGGTATTTAATCTGTGACTCCTCACCCGGATAGGTCTTAATTTCCGACTCCTGCTCAGCCCGCTGACTGGACCAGATTAGGAATGTGTAATTAAGGGCAACAGTGGCCGGCACATTCCCCCGATCCGCCTCTTATGCTAATGACCAAAGTGAATTGTTGTCTCCCGATGTTGCTGTTGTTTTTGTTGCTGCTGCTTGTGTGGATTCCTGACTGCGATAAAAATGTTTCGCTTTCGAGCAACCGCAACCGCCTCACCCCGCCTCTGATGTCATGTTTAGTCAGCGGCTTATGCGGCGTATGCGCAATGTTAAAGGGATGACCCAAAAGGGGTGGGGAGGGGCATGTAAAGGTGGAAGGCAAATGAATATGTGTCCCAAAGTCAAGGGAAGAGCGGCATCGGGCAAACTAGCAACAAGCTGGGAGCCACAAAATGTGACTGCCAAACAACTTTATTTGCGAGAAGTGGCATTCATGAAATATTCATGCAGGCAAAAAAAAAAAACCCCCAGCTCTGACGCTGTCAGCCTGGAGGAGGAGAGTATCCAGAGATCCGCAGCCTGCGGCTGACATCGAGGGGCATCAGGATTTATCGGGCCTGCCAGCCGGAGTGGATGAAAATTGAAGGATGCAGTCAACAATTGTTGCAAGTCGATGACAGCAGACCGAAAACGTGGCGGGGCTGGGGTTTAATCCATATTTAAGTAAGCAACTGAAGTATTCGGGGATTTACTTGTATTTGTAAACTTGTTAAATATTTATTTATACGTTAGAATCTATCAATAATAATCCATATATATTTTCTAGTGAATCTTCATACTTTTCCGAATTTTTCCTTTTATTTTCTCCCAGCTTTAATCCCATTTCAATCTCATCTGGCCTCTTTACTGCACGACTTGCTCCAGGATTCGGACAAATCGTTTATTTGGTTAGCTTAAAATTTACCCACATTTGACACAGCTTAAGTTTCCCCTGCCCACTGGAAAAAGAGCTCAGACCCACAACGAACTCTGTGTTTGTCCAAGCTGATAGTCCCAGCAGCTACCAGATCTTGGCTCACAGCTCACCTCACGACCTTGTTGGTTGGCACTGGAAAAAGTGGCAACAGATATCACACCAAGAGAAACAATGATTTTAAATGCAATACCATAGTTGAAACTTGAAATATGGTTTAAAAAATACATATTTTTCAACTACAAATCTTGTAACTTTCCACTCCTACTTTGATTTTCGATCCAACATTACTTCAGTAATACGGCCAGTAAACTAAGAGTCTTTTCAACTCAAGTTTATGTGGTTTATGGTTCTAGTTACACAACTTCCAATAGGATTTTTACTGTGTGCCAAGGCAGAGGCAAACTTTTGGAGCGTCCAGACCGATGGCATTGGGAAAACAGCATCGATGTCGCCCCGGCACCACACAAACTATAAATTGGCTTAAGCTCCGGGCCTGGTCTGGTCGAGGAACCGAGCCAGGACCAGTTTTGGAGTGTGTTCCCATTCTCGACTCCCTGCAATATCCCCGAGGCACCGAGGGAGGAGGAGGTGGTGGCTACAGCGTTTGACACTTTTGAACTTTGATGTGCGGCACTCAATCTCTGACATTGGATGTCGGCTGAAAAAAGTTTCTTTGTGGCTCGTCATGTCTTCCATTTGATTTGCAATGATTTTTGCTAATTTTCCATGGCATTCACTTTGACAAGTTTTCAGCTTTTGGCCAGCCAAGATTCCCACGACAACTTTGAGTTGTTCGCCGTCATCAGCATCATCGTCATTGGAAATTTTAGCCAATCTCCCGATGGCGAACCTGTTTCTCTTTTTTTTTTTTGTCGTCTGCATAGATTACATTTGGAAATTTTGTTAGAGTGCCGGGCCAAGCCCCAGTTGAAGTCGCAGTTATTATTGTGATTAGGATGAAATTAGCTTTTTGTCACGGCATCTTTTTCGCTGCATCAGCACCAAGAAAAGTGAAAACTTAAACTTTAATGGTCAGTGAAAATGATTGGCATTACCTAGCCCATTGGAAATTGAAGCTCTTCTTGGTTGAAAAATGGCAAAGCTAAAATAAATAATGGCCTGGCGCTCCCCCATCGATTTCGGTACGATTAAAGCATTAATCAAAAGTCAACTCGAACGGAAAGTCAAACGGAAAGTTCGCGCATTCATCATCGTCCTCGTTGCGTCATTAGGGTCGCAAAAGTCGACTTTCCATGGAATTCTTTTCCTGTTCGCCAATTAAAAATTCATTCAGGGAATTTCCATTTTTTCCCCGGTGCCACTAACCTCCTGCTTCGGTTTGATATTCGTTTTAAATTAATATTAATTGCGATGCCGATTGCGTTTGGGTTTGCTTTGGCGGTCCTTTGTGGCGGTCTTAACCCACGACCATCTTGTTTCCGCTGGCTGGGAAATGGCTCCCACCGCACGATTGGGTTAAGGACTTCATCAACTCGAAGCCACCGCCGCCTTTCATTCAATTAAACGCAGCAGAAACACGGTGAAATGCCAAGACCCCCAAAGAAAGTTCCTTGTTTAAGAAGTAGAGAAAGAAAATCAGGGATATTTATTCTAAGGAAAATGGGTTGAAAATATACTACTTCTTGAAAAATATGTATATACATAAGTTGGTAAGATGAAAATTTTAAATATCAATGCCTCTTTCTTTCCTCTAAACACATTCCACATTCCTCTAAACAAGTCTCTTGTACTCGACCCTAGTTCTCAGTGTAAATAATGCGGCTTTTGCTGTTGTAAACCAACATTCTAGGGTTGCCTGGAAAGGCTACATGAACAAGTACATAGGCAATAACAACATCCACTCCCCCGCTGCCTCGAATAATGGAAATTGAATTATATGCTTCATAAAACGCATCTCCAGAAAGTTGCTCCACATTGCTGGGTGGAAAGTGGAGCCAAATGAGACGAGATTCCCCCGATTTGCATTTCAACCGCCATTGTTTGCCTGCTCATCTGGCCAACATAGCATTCCTGATTCTCCATATAAATGTGTATTTTGCTCAGAGCGGCAATTAGCAATTTGTTGCTACGGGGGAAAGGAAAATTTTCAAAAACGGATGAATGCATTCACTCAAGTTATCAAGCACCGAACAACAACCATAGGCCAAATAATTTCATAAATAAATTATATACAATTAAGAAAAGGGTCATCATTTAAACAATAATTTATGGTATAGGACCTATAAATAATTACACATAAGATTCTTGTGTAATAATAACTAAACACTAATCATTATTTATTGGAATCTAAAGCCATAAAATCCAATTAGGCTGCAGATAAATGCCTGTGGCGTCTCCACCAAATAAGCTACTGTTTTGTATTTACTCATCACACACAGCCCTTGGACATTCCGCACTTGCACTAATTTATTTATTAATATTAATTTCCACTAATTGAAGGCTCAAACAAGTGTTTGTAATTTATTTTTATTATAAAAGTCATTTATTTAAGCGAAAAAGTCTAGAAATTTCAATGTACAAAACAAAGTAAAGTATTTATTGTTGCTTTCTCAGTTGTTCTAGTATTTTATTTTATAAAGAGAAGTATTCACCAAAGGCATAATTATAACTTATTGAAAAGGCTTTATTAAATTTTTCAAATTTAAAGATTATTTCATTGTAGCTTTTATGACATTTTCAGAACATGCAATTAGTTAATGGCGTACATACACCGCCATCTAGCATTATTAAAGCAAATTTGCATCCGCATCCACGTTTGCAATCGCTGATGCACCTGCCACGTTTGTACCTACAGTTCCACTCGCTGATGCAGCTAGGGGTATACCCACAGTTCCATTTACAAAAATCCTCGCAATTGTAGTACATCTTGCCAGGGGCATCGCAGGGGACAATTTCCCTTCTAGAAAGTCCAGGAGTAATGTGACAAAAACAAAGCATCGCCAGCAAGATAACCACCTTCATAATGGGACACTCAATTTGCATTTATACCATTAAGTTTTAATAATGAAAATGTAAAGCAAGTGTTACTAATCGATTGCTTTGAGACCTTAAGAAAATACCATATAATCTTGAATAAGCCCTAAATTTGTTCCACTGAATAGATACACGTTCTTTCTTTGGTAGTTTTCATTTTTAAAATTTATAAAATGTATATGAATGAACTCTTAAGACTCTCATACTAATCTTATGGCAAAGACAAGTATGTATTTATAACCCCTTCTAAGTAGACTTAAATTTTAAAATCATTTGGGTTATATTTATACTCGTATTCTTTATTATACATGAACAGCAAAACAGACAAAGTTCCAAAGAACCCTTTTCTTAATCTCTGTTCAACGTTTTGAATAGCATTTCAACTTTTTGCGGGTATTCATTCGAAGCACTGTTTTGTACTATCCATGAGCAGGATCTAACAGCATTTTCTTGGCCAGATTTGGACAGTGCTCGATGGCAAACACTTTTCCATAACCTTGTGCAAGCATTTCAAGGCACTGCTGCCTGCCTGCCATCTATATTTCTTTGAAATTCCTCAGACACTGCAGCGTATTCAACGCTGCCTGTTTTCCTAGACAGCTTCATCCTACAGATCGTTTTTTAAACGTCCCTTGGTGGAGGTCCACGGGGTCTCAGCACCGACTCCAAAAGATTGGGTCCCGGCTGGTTCTTGGGCCTGGGCGTTGGGGTCAGCGAGCGGGTGTGCGGAGGAGCGTCCTCCTTCTTGTGGACAGCCGAGGTGGCAGCACGTCTGGCCCGAATCTTTTCCTCCATTTTGCTGGGCACCATAAAGCAGTTTGACTCCTTGTAGACAGGCTTGCGGCGATCATTCCACGGGAAGGTCCACTGAATGGGGGTGAAGTCACGACGCCAGGGCTTCCTGGGCTTAAACCAGCAGTCGCAGGTCCAGTCCTCCTCGCCAGGGATATCGTCATCACTAATGAAGATAAATAGCAAGTGAAATTAATATTTTCAGAGATGTATTAGGTATAACTCACCCCCTAACATAGACGCGAACATAGCGCGAGTTCTTCCGGAACATCTGAAGGGCCTCGTTGAAGGTCATCTCCAAGGCTGGCACATCGTTGATCTGTGTGATCTCATCGCCCACCCGCATTCCTCCGCGCTTGGCCAGGCCCGTGGGCGAGACATTGACAATGGTCAGAGGTTCGAACTGATCGCTGCCGCCGGACACTTCCATGCCCCACATGGCATCGTAGAAGCTCATGATCCGGCGATCCGTTTCCAGCGTGTACGAGAACTGTAGCTCGTACTCGACATTGTCGAAAGCATCCGAGGTGTACTTGGGCACCCTAATCTTTGAGTCAAACACCATGGTGATCTCAACAGTAGGGAAGCTAACTAAAGCTGTTAGGATGAAACTGAATTTCAGGCTGTAACTGAGTCCCGATACCAACGGACGGGAGTCACTTTAACGTCTGGCGTTGGTGGCGCATGTAGGTGGCTTTTATAGCTACTAATTGGACAGCTAAGATGGATTCGAGGACAATGTCAATGTCTAAAAGATTTGCCAAGAACAGTGGGGAATGCCTAAAATTGCTAGGAACTTATTTTGCATTTTAAATAATTTTTAATAATTAGGTAAGTAAGCCTGGTTTTACTGACATTTTAGAAAAAGTTTGATCAGGGAATGCTCTCTACAAAGATTATTATACAACTTATAAAGTGATCTTCATGGTATCAAATTTTGAAAATTTGTTTATTAAAAGTCGATTTAAATATAAAAAATCAATCTAAGATTCTCTTTTAATACTCTTAAATGTTTTATTTATATATATTTTCTTCTTTTTAACAACTTTCCTGTATAAGGCACAACCCCCTGTACTTGAAAATTTATCGAAAGAAAATCAATGCAATTGATTTGCATTTAATTGTTGTCTATTTTTAGTGGCTGTGATTTTGGCTGACGGAAACAAAAGCAACCGACAACGAGGAGGTGGAAGAAGAACCCATGGCCGCTTTTGGCTATTGAAAGTGGAGCCGCTGCGAGAGCCAAGGGAGCCGCGCTTCCACTGGCTGTTGCAGTTCCAATTCCAGTTCCTCCACAGGCCGCTGAGCAAGTGCTAAGCACTTGGCCGGTGCGATTTGATTTCACTGACCTCGATTATGGCCGGCAACCGATATGGTCCCGAGTCTGGGAAGCTGGGAAACCTGCGGCTTTGCTGGACTATTGAATTATTCATTCAAGAAGCAAACAAAAAAAAAAAAAGAGGAAAAAAGAACATGGTATTGTCGGGGGAGCCACAGCCAAATGGCAAACCGGCGGCGACAACTCGCCTAATTACAGCGGATCTTCTACGGAATCTCTCGTACTTGTACGGTCCCAAATCCTCTCGTGGAGCACTCAGCAGCACTCGGGCTGCTGGCAAACTGGCAGCTTGTCGGGGCTTATGCAATGGCATTCTGTCTGGGATTTGCATCACTGAGCGTGGCCAGTTTCGGTTGTCATGGAATTTCATAGCCACAATGGAAAGGATTTGGACCATGGAATTGAGGTAATTACTTAGCAGGTGCCACTGGCAACTGTAGGACTTACCTGGCCAGAGAATGCATTTTCTCTGTATTTTTCCCTCAACTCGGTCACGTTCCCCTAGCAAGATTACAGGTACTACCCAATAATAGTGTTTTCTTTCTCAGGGCTTTATCGAAAATTAAATAGTCACGAATTTGTCGCCAGTTTGCTATATAAAGGGTTAAGAAGCAAGGTTTTGGAGCTTCAAAATAAACAAAAATGTCTTGTCTTCGAATTTTGCGTAAGTTTTCTTAATTTTAGATAAACTTTTCTTAATAAATTTCTACGTTTTTTAGTTACCATCACTTTGATACTGATTATAGCCATGGACTCTAAATTAAATCGTATTTTGTATATTAAAAAAAAGATTTTAAGTTGAGGTTTTAATAAAAGCTGTTGAACTATTTCTTAGTCCTTGTATTATTTTGGATGATTTTTCTTATTTCATATTTTCTTTGGTGATTATAAACCTCCATATCCAGCAGTCCTGTAAGTAGAATTTTGTTACTGGCAAACTATTTATATTTTTAAGAATCCCCTTACATTTCATAAATCCACATAAACCATTTTGGCAACCCCCAAAATAAGACATGTATTCATAGATATATTTCCCAACAAGATACATCTAACAAAAGCATTTTTAATATTTTTGTTTTAGACTTCTTAGGCCAAGCATTTCAGCTGATCAAACTTGGCTATATATGGCTTAATAAGGTTCACGGCCGTGTAAAACAAACTGACTACGCAGTTCTGCTTCTCAACGACCGACTTTTGGATGAATTGATATGCCAGCCTAATGATTCTGATAATGCTGCCATTTCGCTTGAGTGTTGGCTTGAAATCAACGCAATCGGCCAGCACACTGATAGACGACACAGAATTCTCGATCAGCTGAGCAGCGCAATCGGTGACCACCTCAGCACAGGTGAGATACTTGTCCAGTTTTTGACCTATGGCTGCCTCAGCCTGGTGCTTATGGCATAGCTATGGAAGAGTTTTGAAATAGAACTGGAATACAGTTTCTTTTTAGGTATACTTACAGCCAAAAAGCTCAGCAAAAAGGCAATCTTAATGAAATGCATCGGGGCTTCTTTTTAGACGGCTTCTAACCCACGTTTAAGGCCATGTGGCCATTTTGCCCTATATATAGGCCTCAGGATAATCGCTTTAGTAATGCCGACAGGCCTTTCTTATTCGCAATTTATCGCTTTAAGATGACCTCTAAGCCATATCTAAGTCTATCCGGGTGTGTCTAATCAAATAACCTTGAAAAGGACTTGAAGATCTTTATTGTAATAATATATAATAATAATATAAGGCAAAACTATGTATTTTTAAATAAATAAATATATGAATCTACATATAAAAATATATGTAGCAAACCTTGAAAAGGAATTGAATGTCTTTTTGGGAGCTAAAGCGATAACTTTACTTAACGAAGACTTAATCTTATAATTTACTTTATATAATCCTTTATTCCCTCTGCTAAAAAGGGTCTTTATATTGGTAACCCTCTACCCAAAGCTTCTACAATAAATGATCATCATATAATTGTGCCAACATGAAAGCCATGCTATTTTCCCATTTTATTGCAATTTGCTTAGCTACAATTTACACACATTTTCTTATTTAAAAGATATAATCATCTTCGTCCAGGCAACCGAGGCTGACAATTTGCTCTGAAAATGGCTTGATGGTGGCCGCCGTGATGTCTAGTAGATTGCGTAGACACTTGGGTTGGTCGATAACCGCCTTTTTGAAGAACGCGTAGATGGACTTCGTAAACCATAATAAGTCCCGTTTTGAGCCTTTCGCAGGAGGCTCTGCCACAAATCCGGTGCAAAGGTTTATTTCGTAGATAGTTGGAACTATTTTTCTGGCCAAAGCTGACGACGCTTCGATTACCACTTGGGCGCACTTGCCATACTTACTCCACTCGCTCTTAACTACGGCTTGGGCCTCGGTCTCCCTGGGACCCAAAAATATCTATTTAAGTAGATTTTGGGATATTTAAAAATATATTTTGATATATAATAGGATTGTAGTACTCACGGCCAAGAAACTCAGCAAGAAAATTGCCTTGATCGCGTTCATACTTCAGGGATTGTGAATGGAATGGGCTTTGGGCCTCTATGGATTCAGCTGTCCTATTTATAGGATTGTTTTCTAAATTGATTTTTCAACCCAATTAGATACGCCAAGTGTGCTGGCTATGGATCAATAATGGATTACGAAATTAAATTCTTTCAAGGTCAAAACTGAGACTAATTGAACTATAGATTGAGGTATGGTGGCTCAAAGCGCCACGTTTTAGTTTATAAATTTAAAAAATAGTTTTTGCATTGAAAATTTCCTAAATAATTAATCTTAGTAAATTTATACAACCAACAATGATGTTCTGTATTCAAATTATATTAAAATAACGAAACAAGTGGATGGATTTTTGATTTTCTATTAATTTATCTTTAATTATTCCATCAATCATACGCAATGTGGATCGTATATATTAGGTTCTGTATCCCTAAATGAATGTAGCCACCATTTTTAAACTTGCTGCCTTTACTGCAAGCTGCTCTAAACTTTATTTCGACATTGACAATAAATTTAACCTTATTTAGGGATACATTTAAATTCCTCAAGCTTGGCGATACTAGGCTTCAAGACATTTATGCCTTTCTGTATAGGAGTTACCAGACACTGAATATTCCCCTCGACGCTGCGCTTCAAAAGCTCGAAAGCTGCTCTAACGTATCCATATAGGGAATTCGTTGGATTTGGTGGCGGAGTGTAGTCAATGCAGTTCAGATATATTCGCAGATCCGGAATGTATGTCCTGACAAGGGTGGCAACCACTTTGGTGCCCACCTTGGCGCACTTTATGACTTCATCCCAGTTTATGGCATCGTCTTGGGCTTGACTCAAGGATACAAACTGTTTTTTCAAATTATAAAAAAGTAAAAAAAAAGAAATGTGGATATGATAACAAATATTTGTATATTTACTATTTCTAAGAGACTCTACTTACAGCCAGCAAGCTCAGCACTAGGGTAAACGTAAACAGTTTCATTGGAACTGGTGTTTAATTTATCAAAAGTCTCAGAAAGCTACTTTTGGAACGCCGCACTCTTTGCTCTATTTATAGGTCTCAGGATAATTGCATTCGTCCTGCCTCTTAGCAGTTCTAAATGCAGATAATACACTTAAATGTGATTAGAGCTCAATTCGTTTCGCTGTGTACATTTATTTATCAATAACTTTACTCTCAAGGTCACAGAGTAAAGGTTTAAAAACCATTTGGATTAGGTTATTTGTCTCATTTTTGTTTAAATATAATTTATTTTAATCCTTTATCAAAAACCCTTTATAACTTATATATCCTAAAATGCAATACCAGAAGCTTTATATATTTGATTAAAAAAGTCTTTACTGTTCTCTCTCTTTTAATAAAAATTTTATTATGGATTTAAAAACACAGAAACCTGACACATTTTATTGGTTTTGCTAGTCTCTGGATTTTTCAGCACAAAGGCTCCTCTACAAACAAGTACATACACTTCAAGGAGCTCAGCTCATCTGTCTTAGGAATCGTGACGGCAGACATTGACATATAGGCGTTCGCCAGACAGTCCAATCGGTTGTTTAAGGCATAAAGGAAGAACTGGTAGACCACCAAGACTAGCTGCATTAAATTCATACGTTCAGTGTTAATTTTGACCTCGTATTTAACGCAGTTAATCATATCCTTGATAACTGGCATAATCTGTCTAGAGACAGCGCTTACAAGATCCAGGCTAACCTTCAAGCATTGGTTGACCTTGATCAGGTTTATCCTTTTTGCTTCAATTGTCACAATTTGTAAGAGCTGTAAAAGGAAAAGGGTTAAGGTACTAAGGAAGGGTTGAGTCTAGATCAACTTACGAGCAAAGAACTCACTAACAGACACAACTTCCCTCTCGACATGCTGACGAATGACTGCCAATATTCTCCAACATTTCAGCGGATGTTAAGTAATTTGCTATGCTCTTATAACCACTTTTTAGACTTCATTCCAGTTTTAAAACTTTATTTAATTTCTTCTACATCATTTTGGTATACAAACCGAGGGCAAGCCCAAGTACATACATTCGTATTGGTGAAGTCGCTGCAAATGCGGAGCCAGGATAACCCTCAACCGATTTTCCATTTCCCAAAGGCAATTGACTTCCAAAGCCAAGCTTTGCAGCCAACTAAAGACCACCATGCCGAACATTAAAAAGCTTAAGTTTTCCAGATCCATGTAGTTCACGAACTTGATGCATTGGGTGAGATCCTGGAATAAGGGCATGGCGTGAACAGCTACAGCGGCTGTGGCTTCGGTAAAAATCTGCAGGCAAACGCCCACTTGTTTCATATTATATGTATAACCCCAGGTGGTTGCTAAAAGCTATGAAAATTGATTATTTTGTGAGTTTATAAAGGATCTTAAGGAATATCTTACCGCCAGACAAGAGAGTTTGAATAATAACTTTGCGCTTGCCATCTCTGAGATATGTCAAGGGACAACTAATGGAAATAGTAAGTTGATTTCTTTACTTCTCCCTGATTAAATAACTTAATCGATTTTGCATGCTTGTAAATATTTATATAATTTATACATAAATTTGTAAAATATATTAAGCTTCTAGATCGAAGTAAATAATTTGATTTGGTATGCCTATTTTCTCCAAAGTTCCAGAATTCTCCTTTCCTAAAGATGTAATGGAGTTTTCGGACTATAGAAATACAACGTTATTATTAATTTTAAAATAATAAACTTCACAATCTTCTCTTATTATTGTTCAATTATTATTTGTATTCTTAATTGGGCCAACATTTTGGAACAATATTTAAATAGGCACAATGCTCTATTTTGAATTGTTTCATATGCGGGTTTATAAGATCTTTCATGTCTTCCGAAAAAGTCTCGAGACAGCTTGGTCCCTTGGCAAGGTGCAATAGGAAGGAGGAGACCAACGCTCTGAAATCATGGGTGTCGAGTTCATACAAGTTCTGATTTGGTACAAAGCTTATACAATCGATTAACTCCTTGAACTTGGGCAGGATCTCTTTAGTGACTTCAGCAAGGCCCCGTGAAAAGACCTCGGCACAGGTGAATATATGTGCCGGATTGTAGCTTTGACATCTCACCAAACTGGTGTGAAAAATCTATATAAATAAAAGATTTATAAAGTTAACTTTTAAATAGGTTTAAAGCAAAATTCATGTTACCATTAAAAAACCAAGTAACCACAATGTTTTAAAGCTGTGCATAATGGAAGGGTTCCTGGTAAACTGACTTCAGATTTTATGGTTTGAATTGAGCCCAGAACTAAGTGCATAAAATTCATTTTATATGCTTCGCTTAATTAGAACATTATATACAAAAGATACCCCAAGTTTGCCAGAGAGTTAAAACACTTTTGGTAATTTACAGATTTTATTTAAAGCCGTTTTATTTTATATTTCTTTAATAGTGATACGCCCTGGCATATATCAATTTGTTTTGGATTATACATACACATAGCATAGGTTTTTCTTTGTCGGGGGTTCTTTCTTTCTCGATACCAACTGGTAGTCCTTGCATTGGTTCTGCTGCTCCTTTCGGTCTATTCTGTCATTTGAAACGTTTGCCAGGCAATCATCTCATTTATATATATGTTTATATATAGCCGATGTATATATTTAGATAGATTTTGAAATGTATTTTGCATGTACTATATACGCATACATATATAAGTGGAGTTTATGCTTGTTAACTCGCCTTGCTAATTGCTAGCTGCTCTCTCTGTGTGTGCAATTCAATTTGTTTTTTTTTTTTTTGGTAAATTCAAACCGGGCCAAAAGGGTTATTACATAGAGATATATCAGATAATATATAATGCTCGTATAATGATTATTGTAATTACAATTCTCTAATATGTTACAATTCGAAATTAATTCAATAGTTTAACAAATGTTTACATTTTGCTACAATTAACTCAAACCCAAAAACGCCGACTCTATATCCGATATTCCAACGATCGCTTAACGTTCCGTTTTCGTAACGAATACGGAGGAAAGCGATCCCCATCAACAACTTGGGGAGCGTCGGGACTTGCGAAGCTCCATTGTTTCCCCCAAATTTGATCCCTTAACCTGACCTAAGCTCGTGCTCCAACCAAAGGCAAAACGCAAATGAAATGTCAAGACCCTTTTCCTTGACTGAGGTAAAGCAAAAGCAAAGATTCAGTTTTAGTTTTTGGGAAATGTACAGGTGGCCATTGCATACTATAATTTAAGACTCTTATCAAAACTACAATTGGTTGTTCCGTAACGTTGTGTTCTTGCTTGAAGCTTTTGCAGGTGGTTCCGAGTGGGAGCATTGTGTGAGAGAAGCGAAACTGTGTGTGGGGGTAGGAAAGCCTTAAAAGCCGTCAACAACAGTTGACCAGGGGGGGCGGGGGCAACAACTGTTCCTATAGCAGCATTCGTAACTCTGGTGTGTAAAATAGTTTCATTCGCATATAGTTTTCTGGTTGCTTTTGTGTATATATATTTGTGTATATATATAGATCTAACAATAATCGTTATCTTTATAGAGATTTCGCAATTCTGCTGAGCTATAGCCTATATACTGTACGGTCTTTCTTTAACACACACACACATACATATTTGGTATTATGCCTTTTCATCTTTTTCGTCGGTCGGTTAAACAATACAAGATACAAGTATTTGAAAATTTGTGTATAAACAGCAATTATATAGGGTTTTATACATTAATTCTTTATATATATATATATCTGTTTTGCTTTAGTTGCTCCATTAAAATGCATATACGTGTGTGTCTCAAGCATCATTACATAATTGTTGCATATATTTGAGAAAGGGAAAATCCAATACAATCTAAACTGATCAACATAATATCACGCTGGGAACTCGAAACTAAAAACGATCCTCTAACTAAATACCAAATATTTATACAATCGAATCCAACAAAGGCTATTTACAGAATTGTCCAAGAACTTAACCATAAAAGGGTTCTAAAATATAGGCTATCCGTATCTGATTGGAGCTGCAACTAATCACGAAATACATAATACATAATAATGATCTATAAATCCATTAATCCATGGTTGTTGTTGTTGTTGAACTACTTAATAATTACGTACGCTTTGCATTTGGTTTCTCTCCTCCCATAATTATCATATCTGACTTGATCATTCGATTTCATTATATTCTATATCCTACTCCTCCGATGGAATCCAAGCTATATAGGTTCTCAATCAGTTGCCAGCCGCTGCTGCGATCTTCGCCTGACCAGACGTCGGGCGATGCTCAGGCGCTGCAGCCAGCCATAGCCTGCGTCTCAGTAAACCAAAACGGATTCCATCGTGATCGTATCTCATTTGTTCGCACTATTGGCATTCGCCGCACTGCTGGCCTGGATTTGGGAGGCCGTTTGGCTGGCCGGCTCCAAGGTTCGACGCGCCAAGCGGGATCTAGTTGGGGGAGGTGGAGAGGAGTATTAGTATTGAAAGCCTTGTGTTAATGTGGGCGCATCCCATCCCCCGTTATGTAAACCTACTTGATTTGTCCAGCCAGCAAGGGATTAATGGCATACAGCCAGTCGTGCACCTCCTTGTCGCCGAGGGTCTGCAGCAAATAGCCACGATGCTTGGTCACCACACTGAAAATATAAATAGTTTGTTGTTAAACTCAAAAACAAACTTCATAATTTAAGAGGAGAATTAAGACCGAAACCCACCTGAATGTGTTGGGTATCTTGACCATGGCCGCCTGGTCCTCGCTGCACTCCACCTGAGCTGTGGCCAGATTAAGGACAGCCCGTTCAACGGGGTCCTTCTCCGATCGGTAGATAAACACATAAGGGCGACGAACAATCTAAAAGAATAAGTTTAAAATAATTACAAAACTCTATGAAAAATACAACCAACAAAGACTTACCACCCAGCGCTTCTTCCAGCCGGAACCGCCATGCTCCAGGACATTCAACAGACCCTTGCGGGCCACCACAGGACTGACACGGATCTCTTCCAATTCCGGCACATATAGGCGCAGCGGCAGAGCCGGTTGTGTGGCCGGGGCTGGGGCCTCCCAGCCATTCGGTGCATCCGACCGATCCGGTGAACATAATCTGGTAGGAACAAAACAAGAGCTATTAGCCAGAAACTCAAGCGATGAGTTGGTTTATTTAAGGCTTTGGGTTCTTTGGATAGAACAGAAAATTACCTGCGTCGAATTACAAATTTGTTGTTTCTAATTTTTTGTTGTGTAAAAGAAAACCGAAAAAAAGGAAAACATGTACAAATAAAATATTGAAAGTTTTGTTTTTTGAGTATCTCGAGTTATTAGGAGGGAATATGAGCGATAGAAGGTGGTTTTTAGTTAGCTTTTTGCACTGCGATAAGCGAATGGAGGAGAGAGAGAGAGCTGCTGGCAACCAATATAAACCAGAGACTGAAATCGATTAACTCCAGTTGCTTTTGGTTTCTATAATGGCTCGGTTGCTATTCTCCCTTTCTTTGCTTCTGCCAGCAGCTTTGTTCATGAAAATGGTGATGGTTACTAGCTTTGATGAGACTGTTCTACACCATAAGGTGGACCCGGATCCGGATCGTGAGAAGTACATTTGGAATCCCTTTCCGGGCCTTTGTGGCGAGAATGCCACTGTGAAGAGATGTGCTGGCGTTTGTCCCGAAACCTGTGCCTTTAAATCCCAGAAATGTGTGAGCTTCTGTGGCGTAAATTGTGTGTGCAAGCCTGGCTATGTCTTTGAGGAGAACCTTGAGCTGTGCATCTTGCGTACAGAGTGTCCCAAAGGCCTCAGGCAGCAAGTTGTGGAAACCCATCGTGTGTTTCAATAGAAGCTTTAATCTTTGAATTAACCTCAAGGAGAAGATTTATAAACATATAAATATGCATTTTTAAACCTTATTTTAATTGGGAAATCTTTTCTTAGGGGTTTCTTCCTGCTATCCGAGGGATTTTACAGATTTATCGGGTTGCTCTTGTGAGTTCAGTATGGGAGCGTGGATGAGGGGTTAGTGTGGTGAACTGATGTACCATGTTGTGTGCTGTGGTGTCGTGCCAATTTCGTTTGCTCTAATAAACCAAGAAAGCCGAATATGGATGCAAGCTAACTAAGATGGAAGGTGCTGTGGTGTGGATGCAATATTAAGATTGGTTAAGCGACTACTTACTCCATGGAATTGCTGGAGATGCAGCTGACGGTCATGTCGGCACATCCCTCATCGCTGGGCGACACATCCGACTGGGTCTGCGTGTCGCTGGCCTCGCTCTTGGTATAGCGTCCTAAAAACCAAAGACTCAGCAACTTACACCTTGAGAATAACCTGGTCACTACTCACCCTGCACCAGCTTCAAGCACTTGAGCATGAGATCCTGCTCCCGCTGGTTGTACTCGCGCTCTGGAATGATTTGCTGCGGATCCTTGACCGGTGTCTGGGGCGACTGTGGAATGACCATGTGTACGGGCGAGGTGGCTGCCCGGGCGGCCAGATTGCACACATCCTTCTCGGTCTTGGTGGTCGGATTAGGATTGGTGTCCATGCCCAGGCGTTCGCGCAGCAAAAGCAGATGCCTCATGCGGCCCACCTCCTCCAGCCGGGTGAGCTTCTCCAGCTCCCACTGATGATCGAAGATCAGAGAGTCGCCCCTTGGCCGCCAGCCATGCAGATTCTCCTCACCACGCACATAGGTGGAACTGGTGTCCAACACTCGGCGCTGACGCCTCTGCACACCTGCAAAAGGGGGCACAGAGAAACAGCAAGTGAATGGGGGCCAGCTCCAGAGATTCGGCAAGCGGAGTGCAAGCGGACCGAGTTCGAGTACAACTACATTGAGAATTGCTACCTGGACTACCTGCTTCGGATGCTCTGCGCAGTGCCAGCTCGTAGACGCCGGTCAACCGATTGGCCTCCGGATTGCGATACTGTCCGGAGAACAGGTGCTTCAGGGAGCGGGGACCGGTGCGAGCATCGCGGCCATAGATGACCATGCTCAGGTCTTTGGTAATAATGGCCGGCCGGGCGCAGTTCTCCAACTGAAAAAGGGAAATATTTATATGAAAATTTAATAAATGTCTTAGGAGCTCCCTTGACTCACCTCCAAATAAGCGCTCAATGTGATGTAGATGGTCTCACCACCCTGGGAAACCCTGTTAAGCAGCGCCGAGTTGTGCAGACTCGAGTCCCAGGCAGCCTCGAAGCGGTAGAAGGAGCGATCATCGCCGGGCACCTCTAGAACCTCGCCGGGGAACAGACCCAGCGATAGCACGCAGGCATCTTCATCCTGCTCGTCGGATGATTCCGGAGTATTGCGTATACGCCCCACCACCAGCTCATTGATATCCTTCCACTTCACCTCGGCCGTGGGCTCATGAACAATGGTGATACGAATGCGCCGCTGGATGCCCTGATGCAGCAGGAACAGGCCACGGCAGGGAAGATCATCGCTGTGCTCCACCACCTATTGAGAGATTGGATTAGTTTCCCTTTAAGGAGGAGGCTCTGTCCTGGTACAAACCGATGGCACATATTCTCCATTAGGCGCCAGCTCACAAATCTCAAACCAAACGAGAACATCGTGCTTGGCCAGCACCGTGGACGTGGGTGCACAAGGTAGAGGTCCAAACTTGGGACTGCGCACTGGCTGGCTAATGGGTATGCTAGGTGGCAGCATGCGGCGTGGTGGTGGCCGGGAAACAAACTCCTGCTTGGCATCCTTGTGCAAGGGATGCGTCTGGTAATGCCCGAAGATCTTGAACATAATGGGTTGAGTCTTCAAGTACTCAATGAAGGATTTGGTAACGGGAACAGTTATCTGAAAGGTATATTCAAATGTTGAAACTAAGAACCTTGAAGGAGGAAGAGTTATCTCACATTCTGCACATGGTAGAAGCCCAAGGGAGCACCCGAAGCAGAGTTCTTGACGGGCTCAGTGGAGAAGGCCTCCTCGTGACGATGCAAAAAGCTGGAAAGTTTATGTTAAATTGAAAATATATGCACAAGAGAATTTCTAGTTAGTTACTTGAACTGGCAGAATATATCAGCATACTCGGCGCCAATGCCTGTGGCCTGAAGAACGGTGACACGGAAGGTGAACTCTTTGCCCACCTGCAAGTGCTCACCGGGCTCCTCGGCATTCTCATGGCACTCCGAAGCCGAGTTGGAGTCAATGCCGCGACCAGAATCCACATCTTCAAGTTCTTTTGGGGGAATATCGTTGAAATATCGTTTAAAATAAGTCAAAATCCCCTTTAGACTCACCTTCCAGCTTGCTGTCCAGACCACCATTATCGATATACCGCTGCACATCATCCTTCTCATTGAGAGCTCGATACTTGGGCTTGGCATCATCCTCATTGAAGACCAACCTGGCCGATTGCTTTACCCCATTATTAAAGTCAATGGACTCCTCGTCCAGGACAGGCTGCACAGCAATCCTTAGGTAGCCACGAACATCGCCTCGCTCATTGACAATGGCCACTTTGTGGACCAGGGGCACTGGATAGAGCAGGTTGCTCAGGTAAATAAAGGAACGGCCCACCATGCGGAACCATGGAAAGCGATCGTAGAAGGGATCACCGCCAGTGAGGCTCTCTACATTATAGTCCGGCGAAGTTGGGCTCATCTCCGCCTCGTTGTGGTACATCTCGCGCATTAGCTCCAAGCGTTGCCTAAAAAATACATTTATTTCTAAGTTAGTAACAAGAAATTGCTAAGGATTCTGGATAAATATTATTATATATTTGCTTAGGAAAAAGAGGTGTGGCGGAGACAGCGTCACAGCAAGAAATTAGAAGCCGAATATATATGGAAAGCCATGCAACTACAACTAAGGATAGTTTTTCTACACAAACACACGTCTATATACAAATGAAACCTGCGATCAAAGCACACCTAGAAGGTATCAGATTGGCCAGTGTCAGGCGACCACGTTCGCTCTCGACTGGCGGCTGCTGCAGCTGCTGGTTGGAATGCAGATCTTGGCTGGGTGGTCCCATCAGGGCTCCGCTCAAGGCCTCCCCCATGTTGGAGGTATCAAACAGCATGGACGAAGGCGGGCTCTCGACATTGTAAATCTGTCGCATCAGCTCAAGGCGATAGCTTGGTGGTGTACAAAAATGAGTGGGATTGGGGATTTGGGATTCGAGGTTACAGGTCACGGGATTCGTAGTAAGAGAACCGAAAAAGTACAAATCAACATCTGTTCGAATAACCTAACCTAAGCTGTATTTCGGGCTTTGGCGAATGATGGCAATGAGTCTTTAGGCGTAAATGGTGGCGGCGTGATCTTCTTCTTCGCTTCGATTATTGCCAAAAGTTATACAAATGAACCAAGAAATTCTAGAGCATTTGATAGAAACTAGAATCCATGATGAACAACTACAACCACCATGCACGTACCAACGAAAGGATAACGACCAACTCAAAACAAAAGCCAGCTTTTAACTCTCAACCAAAGTGCAGAGAAAAATGAATGTGAGGAAGGAGGAAGTTTAAGAGTTCTCAATGGAGGATTGGACTTTGAAAGAACCTACCGTAGCTTCTCCAGGGACCAGTAGTGGGTGGCTCCATTCTTGGTATCGGTGACCTCCACGGCCACCAAGGTCTTGGAGACTGGTGGAGCTCCAAACTCATCCTCCTGGTGCAGAGGAGCCACACTGGAGGCCAGCTCGGGTGGCAAGGGAGAGTACAAGGTGTCGGTCAAGAGAGTGAATTGGAATTGCACCTGTAACAGGAATTTAAATTAGAAATAAATTAAATAATTAAAATTAAGACAAGAGACCCACCTTCTTCTTGAGCTCCACAGAAATGGCATTGGCTTCCTTGAGGAAGATGGCATTGCCCCAGAGATCGTCACGCAAGGAGGTAAACTGATGGTAACGCCACTTGCGGAAGGCCCAGGCAGCCAGGCCAGCCTCCCGAGCAGTCCAGCAGGACTCGTACATGGGATTGGCTGTTAAATAACCCATTTTTTTTATCACATCATTTAATAAAAACTTAAAATTTACTCACTGTAAACATCCTCCTCCTGATGGAAATCCTCTGGCGAGTAGCTGCTGTACATCGACATGGTCATGGACTGCTCCTCCACTTGCTTTTGCAAGGCATCTATGCGAGCCTCGTAGGTTTTGCGCTGCTCCTCAAACTGCTGATCAGCCTGGAGCTTCTCCCGCTTGTACTGCTCCTCGAGGTTATCCAGCCGCTTCTTCATCTCGGCCTTCAGATCGATGCCCTGCTTCTCGAGCAACTCACACTGGGCAAAGTTCCAGTCCACCTGCTGGGTGTCCGCCTTCTCCACCTCATTCTCCGCCTCGTTCTCCTCTTCAATCTTCTCGCGCAGCTCACGGGCCTGCTCTGGGTTGGTGAAGCGGAACACGTGATTCTTGCCCAGAATCACACGGGAGCCGGTCTTGAGGACCTCTGGTTCCACCAGCTTACGTCCATTGACATAGATAATGGCATCCTTGTGCGGCAGCAGGGTCACCGTGCTGTTTCTGTTCTCAAAGGTGCAGTGCTCCTTGAGGATGTGCGACCCAGAGAGCTGAATATCCTGGGGAAGATTGGCCTCATGGGTGCCCAGACGGGTTAAACCGTCCTTGATGTAGTAAAGCAGACACTCGGAGAGATTGGGATCTTCGTTAAGATTGACCAGATGAGGGGTCTTCTTGGGCGAAAACACGCCCACTGTGATGCCATCCTCCTTGACGGCCACGCCCATCTCGGCAAACACAGCCTCCCGCTGGAGGCGAATCTCCTCGGTACGCTTGAGTTTCTCCTCCCAGGTCTCATTGAGTTCTGATTGGTTTTTGTTGTTGTTTATTTTCTATATATATTTTATTTATTATTAATCTAAACTCACCTGCAATGAGTTTCTCGCTGGCCTGCAGCTGATCCACGGCCATTTCCGTGGTGGATCCATTGCGATTGCGTGACTTGCTCGGTGACTTGATCACCGTGGACTTGGTGAGCTCATCCTCTGCAAAAATGGAAGGAGGTTTACTAAGACAATTCTCTGACTTTCTATGAAAGTCACAAGCGCAGTGATAAGCGTGCTAAGGTTATAAAGGTTATGGAATACATAGAGATATGTAGGAACATGTAGATATATATATAAGGAACGAAGCGAATATGCCGATTCAGGAGGGACTCTTGCATAACTCTGGCCTGTCCACTTTCTCGCTTTGGCAGCAGTGAGGAGGACTGCGAGGAGTTGTCTTACTTTTCTTTTTACTTTTTCTTTTATTTCGGCAACTCAAATAAAACGCCATAAACATTTTCAGCTGAAGATCCTGCTGGAGGCTCTTTTTTTGGTGTTTTTGAAGGCAACATAAAGAGGACTTGTTGGTGATTATCATATGGGATATATATTCGTCCTGAAGCGGTATTTGGTTTTGAAGCTTTGAAGACGGTACAGCACATTACAGATGCACACTTACACAAAGACAATTTCAAGATAATTATGGGCAGTGGTTAACTACAAGATCAGTGCGTTTCAAAAACTATAAGTAAATGAATCAATTAAAGCTCTGAAACGCACTGTACATATTTGTATATATTTTTTATTTGTGATTATAACAATTTTTGTTGCACGTGAAGCCTTTGGTTTTTGTTTAGCGCTGAATTGCTTTTGGCTTTACTTACTATTCGCATCGCGCTTCTCACACACCACCTTGCCATCGGGTCCTAAACGAAATAGGTTTTTGGGTTTTGGTTTTGTTCTTTTGTTTCTCTAGCATAACTTACTAGTTAGTAACTAGAACTAGGACTAACTTAGGCTTGGGTTTCTTTGGTTTTCATTAATTTTTTTTGTAATATTTAGGTGTGGCGAGTAATTTTGGATGTGTGGCTGGGTTTTTAATGTAGTCTAGCTTATTTTGGAAGTAGCCTTAGGTAACTAGTGGGGGGAAACTCACCTTCCTGCACCTCAATACCCTCGGCCTTGAGCAGATCCCGCAGCTTTTGGATCTCCTCCTTGAGTTCGCGTATAAGCTTGGCATTGGCATCCTCGTTGACCACGGCCTTGCACACAATTTGCTTGGCACGATCCGCATAGCTGATATTTATATATATTAAATGATTATATTTCATTTAAAATTAATATTAAGCTCACCGCAAAGTGCTGAGAGTTTCGTCGTAGTTAATATCTGCTGGCGAGATAGCTGCTATCATGGCTGTCTTGGAATTACCACCCAGATTTTCACGCAGCAGCCAAGTCAAAGCTGAATCTCGATAGGGAATAAAGTCAGCCTTCTTAGCATTCTTTTTCTTGGAGGCCTGTTATAAGAAATACATATATTAAAAACTATTTGTGGTCTTTAAAAGACAAATATACTTACAGACTGAGGTTTAACAAGGCAGCAAAAAGAGTCAGTAAATTATTTATAGTTTTAACAAAGTTTTAAATAAGAAATCCTTACCACTTCCGCCAGGGCTGAGATAACTTTGCCCAAAGTGGTCAGGGACTTGTTTATGTTGGCTCCCTCCTTCAAGCGCGTTCCCTTGGCTCCAGTGGAATCCGCTCGCTCTGAACCGGCCAAATCCACCAGACTTATCTTGGAGACCTTCTCTGTGGTCAAATCGGTCATGGTATCATGGCGACGTTGGGTGAAGAAGATGGTGAAAACGGCATGGGAACGGGAGCTGGTTTCGTTCATGTTGGTGGCGGCCACAGTTCTAAAAAACAAAACAACATATTTTGTATAAATAAACTAATAAATTACATAAAATAAGAAAACCTACCGCGCCTTGTTGCCCTCATCAATGAGATCGTGTATATCCTGGTAATCAGTGACGGCCAATTTGGATAGGTCCTCCACATAAGGACCCAGCAAAGGATGCTCCCTCACACGCAGATTGCCCTTGTTTTTGGGATTCAGCAGATCCCTAACCCGTTCGCAGTAGATCTCCATATAAGAGACCTCAACCTGGTATTTTAAATATAACAAGAGTTAGGTTTTAGCCTAATTTAAGAGTTATATGAATGACTTACCGAATACTTGAGTTCATCTGTCTCCGTTTCTTGTATGCGTCCAAATAGATCCTTGCAAATCATGGGTATAATGCCCTCCTGCTGCTCCTCCTGCCTGCCCATCATGGTGTAAGACTTGCCAGCTCCAGTCTGGCCATAGGCAAAGATGCAGACATTATAGCCATCGAAGGAGTGCTGCAGCATCTCCTCGCCAATGTCCTTGTAGACCATCGATTGTGTGGAAAAGTCGGCATCGTGATGCTGATATAACAAGCTTTTATTATTTATATTCTTTTAAGGCTTTGGAATTATATAAGCTTACATCGTGCGACCAGTAGGAGTAGTCAAAGTTGAATCGCTTTACCGAATCACTTGTGTTTGGTGGTACCTTTGGGTTGGTAATGGCTGCAAGGGGTTTTTCGTGTTATAAAAATGTAATTTGTAGACATCTAGGACATCTCTTACCCGTGGTGGCCCCGCTCATCTCGATGATGCATTTCGACTCCCTGCTTATTTCCCGCGAGTTAAAGGGGCGCACTCGCACCGCCACCTTAACCGACGACATCTTGGTCTGGCTCTCAGTGGGTGTCCTGGTTTCCGGTTAACTGGAGTGGAAATAGAGTAGGGAAGGGAATACTCTTTATAAGCAAATTCAAGTCATTCGAGTGGGCTGTAAAATTGGCTCGGGACTTCTTCTAACACTCTGTCATTTTATAATTGCCACCAACTGGAAATGGTCATGTAGTCGTACTCGTACTCCATTGGCTCTTGTGGTGGCTACAAACTATGAGTCATGCCCCGGCAAGTCGCCAGGGAAATTTGTATTGAATTCAGGGGTGGGGTCGGTATTGGTTTCTGGCCCTTTGTGGATATTATTTGAACCATAAAAAGGGTTTCTTGATTTGAATAAGTCTTTGATTAGTTTTATTTAACTGTAAAACTCATCCCATTTAAGTTTTTGTACTTTAAAAATAATAAAAACGTACTGAAAGTACTTAAAGCATAAGTTTCTCAACCCTTAGGGTATTATATTGTTTCCTTTTTTTGTCATTTACATTTCTGGAATAATTTTCTTCTTTCGGAACTTTGATTTTATTCAAATAGTTTTGTGTAACCCCTCCAACACCCTCTTGACTTTCACACATCCCCTCAAACACACACACCCAGAGTCGGGGAGCTAAGGGAAAAAATTCCACAATCCACAATGCTTCCAATAAAACGCAGACGAGTGTCGGCCAGCACTCGAATGAGTCATCGAGCAAATACAAAAGGCAGAATAAAGAAAATCACTCACACCCTAATAAAGGAAAAAATAAAAAGGATTTGCCATATTTTCTTGGCAGATATTTATTTTATAATTACCTCTAAGTAAAGCCAATGAATTACTGGCTTACAGGATAACTATATCCAGGGAATACATCGTAGCACTAGGTTGTTAGATGGTTTTGATAGTTTTTCCTTGTTTAATCGCACTATTACGTTTAACGACTTTTCAGTTAAATTTAGTTTATTATTTGGGAAGCCAAACACTATTTTATTTTGCTTTTTTTGTGTTTTAAATATTATTTCCACGCAACCAACAATGAAATTCTTTTACTAGCAAACACTAGAGTCCTGAAATATTGTAAGACCGAGTTTGAGAAACTTCCAATGTCTTTTGTTTCGAATGCGCAGCTGTGAGAATTTCTCTTTCTCAGCACTTTCTCTCTATCTCTCTCTCTCTTCCTCTCTCACTCTCTTTGTTTACCTGACCAAAATACTTTGTTTATGTTTTTTTTTTTTTTTTAATTTGACGAAACTGTCAAAGCAAATATGCAACAGCCTGCAGAAAGTTGGAGGCAAAAGTCTACAAAGGAATTGCGCAGAAGCGCGAGACAGGAGACATGTGGAGAGAAAGCAGAGAGAGCAGGTGAGAAAAAGAGAAAGCAGGAGCGAAAATGAGTAAGAATATGCAAAATATTTGTGTAATGGTTTTATATTTTGTATTTTTTATGATATGCAGACTGACGCAAGTCGAATTAGGATATTAAATGATACGGAAATAAGTTATATTTCAGAAATTCCTCCCCAGTTGGTCCTGTTTGCGATATCCTGACACCTGGCTCGGCTTTTAAGTTTTCGTTTCGTCACCCAGTCAACCCTCATTTGCACTTGAGACTCGAGCCAAGTACTTGAGGTCCTTCGCTTTTATTGTCCTCTGCGTCATATTGTGGGTTTTTTATGGCTTCCTGCAGGGCAACACGGCGGGCACTTAATGCCATATGTAGGACCTCCAGCCACACGCGCACACACAAACATACACACACTCGCGCAGGATATATCCTTCGCTTGGGTCGTCTTGACCTTTATTAATAAATTTCCATGTTGCCTTTGCCATGGACACCGTCGCGAGCCAGGAAATCTCTACACTCGACACTGTTCACACTGTTCGTGGAGGCCACTGTTTCTTGGACATGACTTTTGGTGGGCAAAGGGGAGCGGGCGGGAGGTTAGAGAACAAAATCAAAATTATGTAAAAACGAAATGGGCTATGTTTTTCGAGAATTTTGAAATGTTTGATCGAGCGAATTGATGAAATTTTGCAAATATATTTTGAAGCAATTACCAATTTTTGTTTCGTTTTTTTTTTGTATTTCTTTCTTTCTTTTTTATTATCGAGGTTTTAGATATAAAAATAACTTGAGAAAAAATCAAAATATTTTCTGTTTCAAGAACATTTGTGATTGCTGATGATAGTCCGTTTGATGTTCCTGCTGCATTTCTTGATCCTGCTGCTGTTCTTGTGTGTAATTGAATACTAGTATTAAGCTATCCAGCATGGAGCGCTTTGTGGTGGTGGCGAATATGATGGACAGCACCAGGATTGTTGTCAACAATAGGGCAAAAAACAATAAGTAACCAAAAGCGCACATTCGCGTAGCTTCCTTTGGACTTTAATAATAAATATCCCTATTATATATATATATATATATATATATGTGTTTGTGTGTATATGTTAGGGGGTCTGCCTTTCTGTATAACAGCGAAAATTTTGCACTCCTTTTATTTTAAGTAACAATTTGTTATCTAGTTTCGAATTAAATAGCTTTATTGAATTTCCATTTAATTTTGTTAATGGTTTATTTTCTTTACTTGGCTGCCTTTTTCTAGAGATTTTTCTTGGTTAACTTTTCAGTGGGCAAAACTCTGGGCTTTTCTGCACAAAATCGATGGCCAGCCAGCGGAGGGCCTCGGAAAATAAAATCGCGCACGACTCGAGACCAGAACGAACTGCACCCGTTAAGGGTAGACGACACAGTGAGCTCTGGCTCTGGGAAAGTTCAGAGGATACGACGACGACCAGCCCTCTGCCACAACGCATGCGTCAAAGTCCGGGAGTGGGCAGGAGGTGTTCCAAGCTGTTCCCAGTTGTGGGCCGCAAGAGGTAGTATATATGGGTATGCGAAAAATTTCATAAATTTCATCTAGACAGGAGGGGGGTCTCGCAATAACAAAACGCTAGCCTGTCATCTGGGCTGGCACAAAGAATTTCATTATTAACGCAAGGTGCTCGCTCACTTTCGCAGGAAGCGACTGTCACAACCCCCGTCTGATCTTATTATCAGCCATTTCACTATCGCTGCCGGCACAGTGGCTACGGCTATAGCCACTCTCCGATGACGTAAAATATACTATGTGGAGGGCCCTCCTCTTTTTTTTCGTAGTCTTTTATTGATTTCCCATCGCCTCGAGACCCATGACAGGCTCTGGCTTTTTATGTTAGTCGGTAGTTCATTTGTATACTTACTCCTCCGACGTAATTACATTGACATTGAAATCTGACGCTGACAGGGCAGTGAAAAGCTGGGGGCGTAAAGATATGGCAGCCTTTAAGACAAATATTTATGGTCTACAGTTTTTTGTTTGTCTGAACTTTTGCCACTTTAAAGGCAAATTATAAATATTTATTATAAAAAGTATATTATAAATCTATCTCAGAAAAGGTAAAATATATAAAATAGATCTAGTGAACGTTGCAAATTGTGAAAAATGTCACAGTACATCTTTCTAGTATTTAGTTATTATTATTTATAATTTACTTAAATTTCTTCTACACTTTTACCATGTCCAATGATCCAACATCAAATGCTTTCGACGATGAGTTTACGCATTTTTGGGAAAAGGTCAATTGTTTTGTGGCTCGCGAGTTTCCCTACGAGGAAAAGTGCGACTTTGTGAGTAGAGCCGTGGACTGCAACAGGAGCACCAATGTCATACCGTACATGCTGTTGATGTCCTGCAAACTGAAGTGCATCAATGCCTTCCAGGAGCATTGTGTCTTGGCTCTTTTTGGAATAATGTGCTTTTTTATGCTGACTATTCTGATAAATGTGGTTTACAATTAGTGAGTTACAAATAATATAATGTTTAATAATAAAAATATCATATACAAGAAAATAAAGAAGCCACTCAGATACACTTAGGGTTGGTATATTAGAAATCTATTATTTACTGAATTCGAAAAAGCTTTTAAAGAACCTTTGTGGTCTTTACTTTCAATCCAATTTGCTTAAATTTAACGAATGTATCCTTATTTCGATTTACAGCTACGGTCCCGCTCTGGAGAGTGTATCAAAGTTGATCCACCTGAACGAACATTTGGCTGGCGTCACCATATTGGCATTCGGGAATAGCTCAGCAGATCTGTTTGCAAACCTGGCGAACATAAGGAGCAAAGTCCCTGTGTACAGCGCCAGCATATCTTCGGCCCTGTTTGTGTCCATGGTCTCTGGCGGGATCATCTGTTACATTACCCCATTCAGGATGAATGGCTTTGAAACAGTGCGTGACATTTTATTTCTTATTTTTGGATTGTCTCTGGTTAATTTCTTTTTGATGCGCGAAACCGAAGTGTCGTCATTTGAATTTATTGGTAAGAATTGCGAATTGAAAAAATTACATCCCTTTTAAAATTCCTAATGGGAATGAAGTAATGTTAAACCCGAAGTATCCCTAGTAATTATGTATTTTTCTTTTCAAAAATATAGTAATGTTTTTGGTGTACATCTTCTATATAGTCGTAAATGTGGTAGACTTGTACTTAATGCGAAGAGAGGTCAAAAGTGAGTACAAGATAAAATAGTGGAACTTATAAATACCCATTGCTCATTTTTTCCTAGTTATAAATGCTAAAATTGATGAACTTGAGGATATGGAAGATACTGAAGAAAATGATGCCAAAATGCATGATTTAAAAAAGACACTAAATCGGTTTCAGGACCATAAATTGGAGATCTATGAGAAAAGACGTCAAGGATCGATGTCAAAAATGCAGTTCACCACCCAACGAATGACAATGCATACTAGAATAAGTGTAAACCAGGAGCAAAATAGGAATGCGATGTACGACAGAAGACGTGGAAAGAACTTTCGCCTATTCAAGGACTTCCTTTTGGCGGTGAGGCCCTTCAGATGCCGTGATTGGCGAACATCTAATATGGTCGAGAGGGCCATATTATTGGCAAAGGTTCCTGCCGTTTTACTCTGCGTCTTCTACATTCCCCTAGTGGACTACCAGAAGAAAAAGCACGGTTGGAAAAAGTTGCTAAACATCGTACATGTCGTGGTTAATCCGGCCATAACCGTCATGGTCTTCAAAGGTAAGAAGGTTATCTATGACCTCTATCTTAATGCATACCAAAATATTATTTAATTACTATTAAATACATTATTTTCTACAGCTGTAATGCTCACACCGGGTGACAAGCTCTGGTACATTGAGATCATAGATGATTTAAAATCTGGGGCCTATACCATGGCGATTACCGTGCCGATAGCGGTGTGCGTCTTTTTCACTTCACGGACCGACAAGCCACCCTCTTATCACTGGGTGAGTTTTGAAAAAGATAAATCCGTATCCTTGCTAACAAAATATCTCCGGCTCAAGGTGTTTACAATCATGAATTTAACTGGCTGCATGTTGCTGATCTACGTGTCAGCAACGGAAATCGATAGGGTTATTGAGGTAATTTCCCGTAACTTGGAGTTGGACGAGGAGTTCATGAGCGCCTCTGTGAAGTCCTGGACAAATAACCTGGGACCCTTGGTCGCGAACACGGCCCTGGCCATGCAAGGCTACCCAAAAATGGCTTATGCCTCCAGCATAGGAGGCCCCATTTTCAGTAAGTCTTCCCTGTATGCTAGATAATCCTGTGAAACTAATAATGTCTTATGTCGCAGCCATCGTCTTGTCACCCAGCATTGTATTGTTTGTCCGAAGAATGTTAAACGAAAATGATGAGAACATAACCGTGTTCGGAAACTACGGCCATGATGCCTTCTACTTTCTTTTGTTCGGACTAACGTGCACCCTGCTCTGGACCACTACCCTGGGATTCTTTGCCCGACGCTCAATGGGCGTATTCTCAATAACCCTATATGCTATATACCTTCTATATATCGAACTTATTCATTTTAATATCATACATACATATGGCTATGACCAACGGATTAGGCCAGGGTTTGGTGATCTATAGGGAATAGTTTATCGATCAATTGTGACGATATCTGGAGTAAAAACTATACTTTTTAAATTCTTAGTTTAACAAATATTTACAAAATTTGTATGGCGTGAAATTAAGTAATAAAAATTTGTTTAATGTATCGATAAAATATTGATATATTTGACACGAAAACCGATATTAAATCGACATTTTTACGTTGCTATATAAGTTTTAAAATTTCGATAAATAAAACAACGATTTTTTCGATATATGTACATCACTAAAGCGATATTGCGTCCCACTGGTAATATTTTGCTTTAGGTATATGAATGTTTTAGGAAATTTTAACTGCAGAACAATTTTCATTACTGCGCAGAATTTTCTTTGGGAGTGCGTAATGAAAGGTTAGGTGGAGAAAAACCCACACACACGCGCCAAAACCAACCCAAATAATTTCGAGTGCGTGTGTGTGTGACTGAGGCAAATAGGAGAAGCAGGAGGAAAATCGGGGGAAAATCGGGCGGGTCGTTGACGTTCATTGTTGGCTGCGCAATTCCTTTTCTTCCCCCTCAACTTTAAGAACTTTCCACCGGTGAATGTCAATGACAGTTCAAGAGCCAAAACATTTCAATTTTCCGCTGCATCATGTTTAAAGGATGGTTCACTGACTCTTCCAGGATCAAGCAATTAAAATATAACACTCGAGCAGACAACACGGCGGATGAGTCATCTGCCATTTTATTTAAAATTATTCTTTTTCGCTGCAGGCTGGGCCTGAAATTACATTTAAATTCAATTTTCAAGGCAGCCACATTTAAGAGCTTAAGAGGGGGTACAATGAGAGCTCTTCGAGTATCAGACACGTGTATAAAGCCTGCCCCTACATCTTTCCCCATTTCTCGTTTTCTAAAGACCCCCAGGACATTGAAGTATATGTCTAGAACATAAACGATAAATGCGATTTGGTTATTTAAGTCATTGCAATGAAAGCAGAGGAAAGTGGATAAAATATACGAGAAGAAAGAAAGGGGGAGAAGCGGCAGCAGCAGGCCTGCCCCACGCAAAAAAGCACAAACACAGTCGCACAGGCCAAACGGCGGATGACTCATCCTGGCAGAATGTTCGTGCCAAGCTTTTCTGGGACTGTGTGTGTGTGTGGAACCTGGCCACAGTCGCGTCCCAACGAAACGGGAAAGCCGCTGAGCCAAAAGGGCGGGGAACAGGAAGAAGGGAATATGGAAGGAAGGAAGGAAGAGCGAACCAAATGGTGAATCATCTTTCAAGAGGCAAACATTGCTTCCTTCCACCCCACAAGCCCTGCGTCTTCCACCCACTACCGAATATATATGTTTCTTTTTTCGGTTTTCTCATAATTTCAAGGTTTGTTTACTCCGTGTTTCTGCTACACAATAAGGAAAATAAAGAAAATATTATGAAATGAAGACTTCAGACTTCTTTATTAGGTTTTATAAGAATCTAAGAAAACAAGTCTAAATTTCAAGCAGTTTCTCTTTGAGATTTTTTCCATTTCCAAAATAACATGTTAAGCCAACAAAAGTTGTAGTAAAAACCCTAATTAAATATTATTTTTCACCGTGTATCTTTCTTTTCTGCGCCACAGAAAATCCCTAATGTCGGGCGGGGCATGGAATGTTGTAACTTTCGGTGCCTAGTTGTCGCTCCATATACACATGTATAGGATATAATTTGCTATACACGCGGCTGGCAGGACACGTTGATTAGCAAGTGATTTCCATTTGGAAAACGCTTTTTTCTCCTTACTTTTCCGTGGTGCTGACCGACCCGGCCACACGTGATATAGTAGACCGCAATGGGCGGCAGCCACGCCCCGAAAATAGGGGGCACATTGCATTTTTAAGGCTATTCAAGAGGGGAACCCTTAAAAGTGCACCCCACGGGCAACATAAATCATTTTGGTCAACCGCAGGACCACAGGTCCTTTCTCCTCTGCCCATCCCAAAACAAAATTAATAATAAACAAGGGAAAATTGTAAGGACAGGAAGCCATTTCGCGACCAGGTGAATTTTCCCCAGCCCTCCGTGCGTTGCCGCTTTCCTTTTTAATGCTGCCCAGCGGAAATTTATGTTCATTGCTTGGCGCCCCCCCGCCTTGGCACTCTTTTTTACTCTTTTTTTTTTCATAGTAAGTATTTTCCTTTATTTATTCACGAGTCTCTGGAAGCCACTTTATGGTGTGGTGCTTAAGCCGCGACTTTGAAAGGCGCTCTTTGCTGGATCAGCTATTGTTTATAAAGGAGCAGCTTGGCTTGGACCCTAAACTGGTCCAAATATAAACATATTTTCCCAAAGGGAAAGTAGTCTTGTCTGGGATTTGCTCTATTATTAGAAAAGCAAACAATAATCATTGCAAGCTGCCGAGAATCCCCTTTCAAATCCTGTGTACACTTAATCTCTCAATCAAGCTGGTCACTATAATCATGCCGCACAAGTCCTTTTCCCATGACGCACTTTTCTTTACACTGATAAAAATATAAATGTTGATATTTGGGATATTAGAGACATGTTATTCTTGCAAACAATAAATTCAAATAGGAATTAATGGACACTTTAATACTTGAAATTTAGAGATCTCTTTAAATATAGAAAATAAAATGTAAGTTTAGGCAAGAAATTGAATATTTATGATATCTTATTCGATATTTTTATATTTTATTTCCCAAAAGATTGATGATTTATAATCCCGCTTGGGGACTTACATTTTTCGCCATGCAATTCCGCGACGATGCGCAGTAAGGGGAATGCCAAAGGGACGCCGCCAGACGCCCACGCACGGCAGACAAGCATCAGAGACAGACATCCTACGGATATAGAATTGGGGTGTTTACCAACCCACTCCGATTTGACACTCCACTGGGGATGCAATGACTTTGTGCGTCGCATCGAGGTGAAGGCTGTGTCACCAGACGACTCTCCCCTCATCCACCCTCCCCCACCTCGCAAAGGTCAGAGGTTGGCCAGCAAACAATTGAATGGGCTAACAACAACGCCCTCTGAGGCTAGGAGCTCCCCTGGTAACTCGATATCCACTCCTGACGTCAATTGGCGAGGCGATAAGCAAAGTGCGTGGGCCGGAAAACATAAATTCGTCCCAACCAGGCGGATGCTCGCGAAACCTTTTGGAGTGACAGGTTGCACCATATGCTCGAGAGGGAAATTCGCAAACAGCGATTAAGAGGTTTTTTTATTTTTAGCAAGCAAACAGCTGCTTAACGGCGAGCTGAAGGATCCGCAACAGGATAAAAGTCGGAAGAGTCCCTATGGGAGATGCGTGCGCAGTTCTTGGGCCAACGGGCTGTGGAATATTGATTTTTCACATAATTTTCCGAGTACAGCCAAGTGGAGTTTTTCTCAGGGGCTTAAAAAACACTTTCCTCAAGTGTCATTGAGAAGTTTTAACGATATTTAATTGGTGCGTAGCACTCAGATTACTCACTTTGAACGACCACCGCCTTAATCTGCGGTGATAATCCTGCTCGGTTTTCCCCAAGTTTTCCTTGCACTCACTCAATCACAGTGTGGTTTCCTTTTAATATTGCACTAAAGTTGTTTGTTTTAAATGGATTTTGATAATAATTTCGAGCCCGCACAGGAAAAACTGAAGGGTTTTCCTTTGTTTCGTTTTTTTGGCGTTTCAAAGGACCGAATTTCCGCGAACAGGCAACAAACGACTCTGCCAGCGGCTGGCCATTTGTCCCACCATTCGGATACGCGTGCTGGAAAATGGCTCGCAGCTGCGCGCACGCAAGCTTGGGAAAACTCGGGGGAAAAGTAAAATTTTCCACCCCCAAGTCGTTGGCAGGCTTTGTTTTTGTTTGTGATCAGCTGTTGGGCTAGAGGTGGCAGGTGCACTGCTGATAGTGTTGGAAAACGCCATGCTGGCAGCGATATCTTGTACACTGAAAATAATTTCGATAGAAACATCCAAATCCAAAATAAATTTAAATGTTTTTCATATTTAACTCCCAATTCTTAGTTGCAAACTGGTACCAATTTATTAGCAGCAACACAGACTACAATTTAGGATCTAAGACCCGCCGATGCTTACAATTAAGACATAGATCAAGTCGCCCGGACTTAGCAGCTGAGTTTCTTGGCCTCCTGGAAGCGGCACGAGATGTCGTCCCAGTTGGCAATGTCCCAGATGGCCTCAACGTACGAGGGACGCACGTTTTTGTACTGCAAGTAGTAGGCATGCTCCCACACATCGATGCCGAACAGGGGAATCAGGCCGGTGGAGGCCTCCAGGGGATCCTGATTGGGAAGGGCGGCCAGCTGGAGTTTGCCGGACTTCTTGTTGTAGCCCAGCCAGCCCCAGCCTGAACCCTGGACCGCCACGGTCAGGGTGCTGAGCTCCTTTTTGAACTCATCGAAGCTCTTCCACTGCGACTCGATGGCCTTCTTCAGCTCGTCGCTGGGTGTGCTCTTGTTGGGCGAGAGATTCTGCCAGAAGATGGTGTGGTTGATGTGGCCACCGCCATTGAATCTGAGGGCCGGGGCCAGCTGGATCAGCTTGGTGGTGTCGCTCTTGCTCTTGGCCTCCTCCAGCTGCTCCTCGGCGGCATTCAGATTGTTGACGTAGGTCTGGTGGTGCTTCTGGTGGTGCAGCTCCATGATCTCCCGGCAAATGATGGGCTCCAGGGCGGCGTAGTCGTACGGCAGCTTGGGCAGCGAGTGCTTGCCGCGCACCGCCAGGCTGCAAGGGGGTCAAGAGACTCGTTTACACACATATATCCTCAAGATCAGGGCCGCCATTATAAATACAATGCAGTTGTTGTTATTGCTATTTATGTAATCAGCCGGCGTCGCATCGATTCTTTTTCTGGGGCGACTAAATTTCTACTTACCTCGCTGTCTGGGAAATTCTACGTGCCACAAACATATCGGCGAATTATTCAACTGCAAATAAAGTTAGTTGTAGGCCTTAGCTTTTTCAATCAAATAACACAAAGCTTACGTTCTTTTTTACTTTTTTTTGTTTTTGTTTTTTGAAAAATTTAGTTCTGCTAGAGATGAGCAATGAAGAATTTATCGATTCAGTCAGTGTTGTACAACAACAGCTTAAGCCTAACCATTTAGATTATGAAATTTTAAACAAAAAATAGTTTGTTTATCCTACAGAAGGTTTGAAATGAGCTAAATTATTTCTTATTTAAAGTTTTTGTAAAATTAATCACAAACAAAGTTATAAACTTTATTATTCATCGGCACTAGTGGTAATCGATAGTTCCAAATTTAGTTGGCGCCAATTTCAAATCTGTTTTTAGATAAATATATGTACGATACGTTTTATTAAATTTTTATTTACTTTTAGCAAACATTAAAGCTTTGGTATACATATATATATCTACGATTTTAAAAATTCAACAAAATGTATTAGAAATCATAGAACCATTCGTAAATGTCGTCTAATCTTCTTATGTAGCTCTTGGGCGCACCATCATGTTAACAGTTTTTAGGCTATACACATCACCTCTCCAATAATGCCAACTTACACCACAGCCAAACAGATCACTGTGAAAAGCTCCGCCCAAGTAAAGGGCATTTAAATTACTGTAAGAAATCTTAGATAAGGATCTGGATTTTTAAGGATATTACATGGAGGACTTTACCTGCTTTGGCAATCTTTATACCACCAAGCTCCCAATCGGAAATTGGCGCATCTGTTGTTGTCCTTGTCGAATGTGCTAAATGGTCGGTTGAGATGGTTAGCTAGGCCATCTCCGGCGGTTCCTTGGTAAGTTCCGAGTGATTTTAACGTGTACTGACTGTTGACATCTCCCACTTTAAAGAGACTGTAACGAGCAAATGCCGTTTCTCCATTGAAATCCTCCAGATGTACGTACAGCTCTTGGGGCTCCGACGACGTTATCTTGTACAATTTATCCAGGCCGAGCCAGAAGCTTCCATTCAGGTCACCGAAACCATTTTCATATGAGGAAAACTTGCGGTAAAAGTTTACTTCGTCACTGACCCTTCGCTGGAAGACAGTCCAGCCCCTTCCGGCGATGGTCGAATCGCAAAAGACATCGAAGACGTCGTTGCCCACTTTGATCTTGTACACTCCGCTTACGCTTGGATTGATCTCCGCGCAAGATGAGTAATACTGGTCACAGAACTGGGACTCCTCATTCACGATGTACTCGGTAAAATCGGTAATGTTTCCATTTTCTGCACTGGCAAAATAAACTAGACCCAGCCAAAGCCCGCCTAGTACGAAGTAAACTGTATTCATTTTGTTTTCGGACTGATACTGAAAACCTTCGGGGCAAGCAACCTTTTTATATACATTTTCCTCAAACTTATCAATTTGTCACGCGTAGTTCTAGAATGAAGTTCTAAAGACAGCCCTAAATCAAATGTAAGATCTTATCATGCAGCAATATAAATTTGTAAATTGTAAATTATTGTTTCCCTTAATGTAACTAAGAGCGCAAAAGAGTCAAAGACTTCTTAATCCCCATATTTACATTATAAGTTCAATTCAATCACATTTTCTTAATTTTAAAATAATTTTATTAGTCGTGTGTCGATTATAGTCTTTTCTTTTATTTCTGATTAAAATTTGTATTATTCTAAGTAATAGAAATAGGAAAACATAGAAATAGTTTAAGTGCAGCAGGCCATTATTTAAGTATGTCACTTTGGCTTAGTTCGGACGCACCATCATATGTACAGTTTTATAGCTGTAATAAAAGCCCTTCCAATACTCCCAATTTATTCCAGAGCCAATCATATATTCATCTTCGTAAGCACCACCCAAGTAAAGACCATTCAAATTACTGTGGAATATAATAGTTAAGAAATGAGAATTTGAAAAATAAATTGTACTACGACTTTACCTCCCGTGGCAGGTCTTATACCACCAAGCTCCATGTCTAATTGCAGCACAACTTCCAGCGTTATCCTTGTCAAATGTGCTAAAAGGTTGGTTAAGGCTGTAGGTCATACAATCCCCGGCAGTTCCAGTGTAGGAGCCCAACGAGCTAAGCTCGTAATTACTGTAAACGTCCCCCACTTTAAACAGGCTGTAGCGAGCAAATCGGGTCTCTCCGCTGAAATCCTCCAGATGGATATACAGCTCCTGGGACTCCAGCGACGTTATCTTGTTTAGCTTCTCCAGGCCAATCCAGAAGCTGCCGTTTAGGTCACCAAAGCCCTTCTCATAAGAGGAAAATTTGCGGTAAAAGTTCACTTCGTTACTGACCCTTCGCTGAATGACCGTCCAGCCCTTTCCGGCTATAGTCGAATCGCAATAGACATCAAAGACATCGTTGCCCACTTTGATCTTTTGGATACCACTCTGCTGGGGGTCGATCGCCTGGCAGGAAGAGTAGTGCTTCTTGCACGTCAGATTGTCGATATTTGCGTTCGGTATATACTCGGTGAAATAGGTAATGTTTTTTATTTCGGCATTGGCTAAATAAATTGGACTCAGCCAAAACAAGACTAGTATGAAGCAAACAGCATTCATATTGATTACGGACTGACACTAAGAAACTTAGAGGCAATCGGCCTTTTTATATACATTTCTTTCGGTCTTATCATTTCTTTGCGTAGTTGTTAAAAGCAAAGTACCCAAACCAGCCCTATTTCAAACTTAATACCATATATTTTATATTCTTTAATAATTCTGTTAAAAGTCAAATGAAATATAATAGTAATAGGTATATTTATCTAGCCCTCTCTGGCAAGTGCTAAGATATTCGTATAAACGCAATCATTAGCATTATATTACGCTGACAACTGCTGCATTTTGATTCTAATTAATTGCGAATTTATTAAGCCAAATGAGGCATACAAATGTGTGCGATTGCCACATCGCGGCAAAACGCAGTAACCTTAACTTCCTTCCACATTGCACGTGCAACGCAACGACAACAACAAAAGGTAAGCTCCAAGCTCCACGTTTCGTTTTTGTTTCGTTTTGGAGGAGCGTTCACCTTCATAATCATAATCGCCGGAGCTCGGAGGGAGCTCGAGCTCCATCATTTTCATTTCGCAGTCAGCTGCACTTGAGGCCCCGAGGCGCTTTTGTTTGAGCACTTCACTTGATTTCGATCACGGATCCACCGTAAAATTTGTTTTGGAGACAAACAACACCACAGCGCGTGCTTGAAGAGAAGCAGCTGCAGCTTCACAGGTATCCACATCGGATTTGGCTTTATCTATATATATATGTATATAGCTCTAGCATTCGCATTAGCCCTTCTAAACGCATCCGAGCATCTGCTATCATATGGAGATCGCAGCTGGGAATTAAGGTTGCAGTGGGAAAAATTAGTAATAAATATTTAATTTTATTACAAAATGCTCCCAGAAGAAGCTAAGCTTAGCTTCTTAGAGAAGCTCTTTTAAATTTATTTTAAATAATTTAATTTAATTTTAAGAGCTGACTTTACGATGACTTGCATAGGCGATCATTTGTCAAGACGATAATTTGTCAATAATTTTAATACATTTTTCAGTGTACCTTTTGAAGTGTAAAGTTCAATAAACTAGTACCTGGCCCCATATACAGTGGCAATAATTATTACGCGATCGCCCCAGGTGAGGCTGGGCTTTGAGCCAGAATCGAGTTGACAGCCGCTTGGAAAGGGTTTTCCATGTCAAATGGAAATCTGTGCCAAGTCGCTGGCTCTGCGGTGACTGTTTCATTTTTCACTTATTTTGTTTCTTTCCATTTTCATATGACTGAATGAGGTAGTTCCAAGGTTGCGTAAATGCATCACTTCACTTCGCTCCTGGGGGCAGAGCTACTGCAATTTTGTAAATTGTTTCCATTCGGTTACCTCATGGCTAACGCGGATTTATATATCACTTTGGATGGGCATATAGCTTCTTGTTTTGTTGTATTTATTTTCTTATTAAATGCCCCGAACAACACAGATGAATTCAAATTCGTGAGGCTATAAATTAAAAAGGGACATGCTGCACAGCTGGAAGAGGGGACTGAGTGGGTGGGTGGGGGACTGAGAGGCATCATTGTGTCATGCCGAGAGTTGTGGCTTCATGAGCTTGTTGTCTGATTTTGGCCTGGTTAAGATGTCGCCTGGGACTCGAAGATGATGTCGCCTCAGTTGCTAATTTTATATGCATGCAACAGAGCATGGCCTAATGCGACGTCGGGTGCCTCGGATCCATGTGCATGTGTCTCAGTGGCCAGAGGTGATAGTTCCCAGGGTAAAAAAATAAAAATTCACCATTTCCCTTGCCTAGTTTAAGGTGTTAGTCCCACTTTAATTTGTAGCCTTGGCCATCTCACTCTGTTACTGGTTATTACCTGTTGCTTTGGTCCTCGTGTCGCCTCAAATTAAATAAGAACGGAAATTTATGCGATCCCCGACTAGAAAAACAAGTAGGGTAACTTACAGGAAAGACGAAGCTTAAATACCCTTACGAAATATAAAAGTATCTTCAATGTTTACTTTAAAAAGTATTTAAAATGTGGTAGAATTCTGTTTATTATTTGGTCTGCTATTAAAAAATAATTTTTTATATTCACAAATAAATATATAAAATAATCTTACACACTCAAAAAACTCACCCTACCCACAGGAAAGTATACCAAAAGCATCCCTAGCTTGTGCCTTCTGCGCAGCTGCTGGAAAAATTGTCAAATCAATGGCAAAGTCCTGGCTGCGCTTTCCTCTTGGCTAAAAGTCCTGGCAGCTGTGAAACGGAATCATCCAGTAATGAACTCATTCAGCCAGCAGCAATGGTCCTGGTGGGCAGTGAGTCCTCTCGCCTGCGATGGATTTGCCTTATGGGATTGGTCATCTCCTGGTATTCGCTTTACGTGAAGTTCAGGCTAGATGCAGATGCGGACTACAAGCCCATCTGCGATGTACACGACAACATAAGCTGCTCGATGGTCTTTAAGTCCATGTAAGTGTATCATTTTTGATGAGATGATGATATTAGAATAAAACTATCTATGTTTTAGCTATGGCAATGGCTTTGGTCTCAGCAGCAAAGGGAGTCCACCCAATGGCGCCATAGGATGTGTCTTTTATGTGGCTTACTTTGTGAGCTGTAAGTTAAAGTCTTGATAAAATTAAATTAAATATGTAATTATATTTATTTGCTTTGCAGCTTTCTTTGAGCACAAATGGCTTTGCTTGGCTCAACTGGCTCTGTGTGTTGTGACTTTGTTTCTATGCATTTATCTGGCTTTCCTGCTGGTCTTTGTTTTTCAAGACATTTGCTTGGTGTGTTTGGCCATCTACCTCATACACACCTGGCTCTTCCAGGAGGTCTGGAGGCGCTACCGACGTCTCTATATGTGAAGTTTTTTTTAAATAAAATGTTTACAAGAAATTTACAGAAATTAAATAGTAAAGATAAAGCGCTGAGATGAGCTACTTGGTTTGACCCGGAGCTAAACTGGTGACGTGTTTTAAAGAAGATCTTCATCTTTACATGTTCATCTGGGAACTTTGACCCGCACGTCTGGTTTCTAAGCAGGATGCTGAGCTGCCTCCAACTTCCAACTCCCATGACCAAGCACGTAGTGGAGCAATTAATTCTGCACGTTCCCATTTTGCCGGCGAAGGCTGTGATCTGTGATCTGTGGATCTGTGAATGGCGCTACCGGCAACCCAGAGCTAACAAGGTGGGCGTGCTGCGAAAACTCAGCGCAATTAATTTCCCATAAGGTTCGGGAATCTCTTTGTGTGGGCTTGGTGTTTCGATTTGGTTTGGATGGGCGAAAAATAACTGAATCAATGAATGGAATGGAAGTACAATGGGCATAGCCATACATCATTCAAGGTGATGGGTACACTTCTAGAGAAAAATTCAAAGAAATCTTGGATTTGTAGAGTATACTATATATAGTGAAGACTCTTCACTGGAGAGGGATATGCTGAAAAGTTATAGAATCATAAAAGAAGAAGTTTACTTTATTAACATTTTAATAACAAGAAACTAAATTACGGATCCTTTTCCTAACATTCTAAATTATAAATATATTTTATTACTAGATAAATTCTACAAATTAAATTAATATTAACTAGTTAACCTCCATAAATAACTTTGATTTAGTGATCTCCAACTGTCATTGCCTCAATTTTCCATAAAATTCCCCAAGATTAAGCTCCCCATTTCTAGGGTACAGATCTCATGCGTACCCTTCATCTACATGTTCTCCATTGCCATCGTCACAATCTCTCAACCGATCCGCAATCACCCACAAAGATCGACTCGACCCTTCTACACCCATCAGCGAATCTCTGCGCATCCTCCTCCAATTGGGGTCGCCGCTGGCACGATCTTCTTCAATATGTCGCTGCGCTTTTTATTATTTTTTACTCGCTGCGACAAGACAAGGCAAACAAATGCAAGCTTTGACGCTTGTCACACCGCTGATCCACTGAGCAACTAAACTTCGAGCAACTGAACCACTCGCCGAAAGAGTGAGCAGCGGCAGACGCCGCCGACACATTCACCCGGCGAGGCGACCGAGTAGACTACTTTGGGCCAACGTAACTACAGATCCAGAGTTGGATGCTGCGATGCTGTAAATGGGGCCCAGCACAATCACCACCTCGCCGCCTCGAGAAGATGTGCGCCAGAAGAAGGCAAATCAGCTCGAGACCGAGAGCCAAGACTTGGACCCTTCACGTGCGATCTCGGAGCACGGTGATTGAGATTTTTGTTTTGGGCAGGCGGCGGCTCCATAGAATCAGCCAGCAGCCACTGCATCTCCGAAGACGTTCGTATGTGGCGGCGGCAGCAGCTGTGCCGGTTGCCACACGCTGCACAGCAACAGCAACAGCCACAGCCACCTCCAACTCATAATCGAGTTCGTGTGTGCGCAGTGTGTGTGCATCCTAGACTTTCAGTTTTCGGTTTGCCACATATAAATACGCCTTGTGGCAGCAGTCACAGATCAGTCAGAATTCGGCGCTGCTCCCAAGCGCTAGCCTCATCCCATAGAGATACCAGAGATTCGTTCAGTGGTGGTCCGTTGCCCAGCTCCTGCTCCTGTGGAATATGTTCAAGCTACTCGGTGTGACGCTGCTGCTGGCGGCTGTGGTCCTTGGGCGGCCGGAGCCGCCTGTCAACTCGTATCTGCCGCCGTCGGATAGCTACGGAGCCCCGGGTCAGAGTGGCCCGGGTGGCCAAGGCGGTCCGGGCGGCAGGCCCTCGGATTCCTACGGAGCGCCGGGCGGTGGAAATGGAAACGGAGGACGTCCCTCGGACAGCTATGGTCCTCCGGGTCTGGGTCAAGGCCAGGGACAAGGCGGCTTCGGTGGCAAACCCTCTGACACCTATGGAGCTCCTGGAGGTGGCAACGGCAATGGCGGTCGTCCTTCGAGCAGTTACGGCGCTCCTGGCGGCGGAAATGGCAATGGCGGTCGTCCTTCGGATACTTATGGTGCTCCTGGAGGTGGAAGTGGCAGTGGCGGGCGTCCTTCGGACTCTTATGGTGCTCCTGGAGGCGGAAGTGGCAATGGCGGTCGTCCTTCAAGCAGTTATGGTGCTCCTGGACAGGGTCAAGGCGGCTACTCCAACGGAAACGGCAACGGCGGCCGTCCTTCCAGCAGTTACGGCGCTCCTGGTGGCGGAAGTGGCAATGGCGGACGTCCTTCGGATACCTATGGTGCTCCTGGTGGCGGTAATGGCAATGGCGGACGTCCTTCGGATACCTATGGTGCTCCTGGTGGCGGAAGTGGCAATGGCGGTCGTCCCTCGAGCAGCTATGGAGCTCCTGGCCAGGGTCAAGGTGGCCAGGGCGGATTTGGTGGACGTCCTTCTGACACGTACGGTGCTCCGGGCCAGAACGGCAACGGTGGTCGCCCCTCAAGCAGCTATGGAGCTCCAGGATCCGGACCCGGCGGTCGTCCCTCCGACTCCTACGGACCTCCGGCCTCGGGAGCTGGAGCAGGCGGTGCGGGAGGCAGTGGCCCTGGACAGTCTGGCGGCGGCGGCGGCGGTTCCGATTACGACAATGATGTGAGTAGCTGGTAGTTTTGTAATGGGAATTGGGAAATGGGAATTGGGATCTGGGATCTGGGATAACTGGTGGGAACACCGCCCACCAAAAGGGAAACACTGCTCCACCGCCCACGCTGCACACTTGCCCTTGCAATCTTTTTGGTAGAAACGTCTCGCTCACCTGCACCGCCTCCTGCGTTCAAAGCTTGCATCCCCCGAAATCTGAAAAATCTGAAATTCTAAAAACCTGAACTCTTGATCCTAGCCACTCTATCTCTCTGTGTTTCTCTCTCTTTCTCCACACGCCCCAATCCGCTCTCCATTCTCCATGATCCAATGCTCCTCGCTCTCCATTAGGAGCCCGCCAAGTACGAATTTAATTACCAGGTTGAGGACGCGCCCAGCGGACTCTCGTTCGGGCATTCAGAGATGCGCGACGGTGACTTCACCACCGGCCAGTACAATGTCCTGTTGCCCGACGGAAGGAAGCAAGTAAGCGGCGTCGGCGGCGGCAGCAGCAGCAGCAGCACCAGCAACTGGAGTGGACACCACTGCTCCTCCATCTGCTCCTCCTGTCACTGCTAACATTGTGTCCCGTGTCTATCTCTTCCCCAGATCGTGGAGTACGAGGCCGACCAGCAGGGATACAGGCCGCAGATCCGCTACGAGGGTGACGCCAACGATGGCAGTGGCAGCGGTGCCTCAGGTCCTGGTGGCCAGAACCTGGGTCCGGATGGTTACTCCAATGGCAGGCCAGGAGGCAACGGCGGCAATGGCAATGGCGGCTACTCGGGCGGACGTCCAGGTGGTCAGGATTTGGGAGCTGGAGGCTACTCCGGTGGCCGTCCAGGTGGTCAGGATTTGGGCCCAGGAGGCTACTCAGGTGGTCGTCCCGGTGGCCAAGACTTGGGAGCTGGAGGCTACTCTGGTGGTCGCCCAGGTGGCCAGGACCTGGGAGCTGGAGGCTACTCCAACGGACGTCCAGGTGGTCAGGACTTGGGTCGTGATGGTTACTCCGGCGGACGTCCAGGTGGCCAGGACTTTGGCCCCGGGGGCTACTCCAACGGCAGGCCAGGCGGTAATGGAGGCAACGGCAACGGAAATGGTGGCTCAGACGGTCGCGTGATCATCGGTGGACGTGTCATTGGTGGCGGCCAGGATGGCGGCGATCAGGGTTACTCCAGCGGACGTCCGGGCGGTCAGGATCTGGGACGCGATGGCTACTCCAGCGGACGTCCCGGCGGTCGCCCCAACGGCCAGGATAGCCAGGACGGCCAGGGCTACTCGAGCGGCAAGCCAGGCGGTCAGGGCGGCAGGAACGGATTCGGACCAGGTGGCCAGAATGGCGACAACGATGGCAGCGGCTATCGGTACTAGAAACGCGACTCCCAGACACATTTAGCTAGATCCTTCGAACTTATAGCAATACACCTAGGCGTAAGTCCTTCTAGAACTATGATCTGTCCTCACCGCCTTCTTCGACATCTCTTTGTCCCATTCCCATTTTTCTTCCCCCCTTTCGCTGTCCTCCGCCCATCGAGCTTCCCCCCACTTCCTCGTAGCCATAAGACCCAGTTGTTGTAAATGCAAGTGCGAAAAATAACCCAAAAAAAGAATGAAATGATAATGCTACACATCTGATGTAAGTAAAGGAATTAAATATATATTTTTATACAAATTCGAGGGTAGAGTTTTTATTTGGATTATATATTAATTTTACAATCCAGTGCGAATAATAATGCCTAAGGATTTCAGGAAAATAATTTGATTATTTTTTCCCATCTAATTCAAACTGAGCGCCATAATTTGATAATCGATATATACTATAGTTGCTTTCGATTCTTTTCCAACACTATTTCGCCTGCAAATGGCAGTATTAGGTTTTTATTACAACACTTCGCTTCGTCCACACTAAGAACGGTCACACTTTGTAGCGTCGGCGTCGCGCGCGGAATATATATTTTTGCTTCTGCTGTTTTTCCGCATTTTCTCCGCTCGAAGGAATAAACAAACTGGCGGGCCAGAAGCGGAAGGCCAATAAGTGTGTAATGAATAGCAATTAGCCGAGCGTGGCGTCGCGCGTGTCATCCCACACACTAATTAACCGAATTAAGATGCTTCAATTGCTGCTCGAAGTAAGTTCCGATCGCCGCTGGCTCTGGCTTGTGTTTTTGTGTGCTGTGAGGGGGAGTTGGGGGGATGCAGCCGCCTATAAATAACAACAATATGCAGGGCGCTATTTCTATCTTTGTCAAATTGTCGCCCAGAGTCCAAGCATTAAGTATATCAAGTGCAGTGCGCGTTCTCTTTCGCACCGCCGTCTTGTGTATTTCGGTGTGATGATTACGAAACTATGGCAAAAGTGGGCGGCGGGTGGCCTGTACACACTTTGCATACAATGAGCTTAGAACGGAGAACCTTTACAAAAGCAAATTGCGTGTTCCCCCGGCTGTGTGTGTGGGTGTGTGGGTGTGTATCCGTATCTGTGTTTATGTTCGGCTTCCCTTTTCGTGTTCAATTTGGTTCCCCGTTTTTTTTTCGCTATCGATTTCTTCCCCCCCTAGAGTCAATGTGAATATATGTATATTTCTTGAAGTGTGAATCATCATCGTGGCGGGCGGACAATCAATAAAATCCACTTAGCACTTGGCACTTCCTTTCGGCATTAGATCAGTTGATAAGCGGCTAAGTGATAAGGAGATACACACAGAAAATGCCCGGCCAAAGGCAACGCCTCTTCAAATTTCGTCTGGCAGCTGTTGTTGTAGGCCTGCACTTAAAGAAATATTTGCATAGTTTTTGAGATATGAGCTGAGAGTTTGCTATGTAACATGGGAAAGCTGTGTTTATATCCTTAAAGTGTATTATAATTTAGAATAGAGAAAAAGTACTATATTTTATTAAACATTTTAAAAGAGGCAGCATCGTTGGAATTGTCATAAAATAATAAACAAAAAAATGGGGATTTTAAAACTTAGGAATGCACAGAAACACAGAACATATATTTGATTTAAAATTAATGTTGATTTGGCTTAGTTATTGGTTTATTAAGTTTGACTTTATCATAACAATTACATATAACAATAAATGTGGATATAAGGTATGCGCAGATTTTATTTCTTTCAATTTGCTTAAAAAGAAAAAAGATTTAAAAACTATTTCTATTAAGGTTTTCCTATTAAATAACATTACACATTACACTTTATAATCATTTTTTCAATTATACAAATATACCTAAAATCGTCCATCTAATATCATAGTACTATATATCTTATCATATTACCTCAAACAAATCTTGGCAAAGATTTAATCGTTTTACAAGGAACTCTTGACAGATCCTTTTTCGTTCCGTGTAATGGGATTTTCTCAGACTCGCTCAACAGGATATGGACGACAGATGTTTTTGCCTGCGTTACAGAGATGCTTAAATGCTGCATTTCAAGGTTCACCTCTCGCTCTTTCTCGTTTCCAATTGCCTTTTGTTCCTATTGCTGCGTTTTAAGTACAGCAGCCACTCGAACCAGAAATTGGGTAAGTGGCTCAGTTCTAGGCTCGATTTCCCGACTGGGCTGTGGATGCTCACCAAGTGACCCACTTTGACGGCTTACACACATCTGTATACTAAGTATGTGGTGTGTGGATCGCAAAACACACATACCACACAACGCATAGAACAAAAACAAAGCCCGAGGAATCGGACAAGAAAGAAGAAACCCCAGCTTGGCCTTCCTTCGCTTTGTTTCTTCGTAAATACTCTTTCAGAGCTCAGGGTATTTTGAAATATCTTTGAAGCTGCCTAATATTTTTTCTGAATTTTTATCTAGACATTCTTATCTGCACATGATTTTAATTTATTTACATAAGGAGATGTTTACTCATAGGAATAATCAGGTGTTTGTTTTTTTTGAAAAACAAATCTCTAAATCTAAATGCCATCTGTTTGATTTTGTGCCCCAGAACCGCCTTTCTTCTGTAGTCCGTTTTGTGTATACAAATTTTGGGACTGCCGGAAACGGATCTCTATATCATATGGCTGTCATAACTTTGATCTGAACAAAATCTGACCTTATTTATGGTTAATTATAATTGAAGGAAATCAGGAAAATTACTTTTATAAAAGGAATTTCTATGATTAATCATATTTGATTATTTAAATATATTGATTTCAAGGAAATAATGATTTTAAAAAGAGTTAAAAGAGTTCTCCATATTTTATCAAAATAATTTTCTAAACAAAAATTCAATAATCTTGACTTTAAAGCGTATTCCATTCTTCGATCTTTATAAGACAGGCTTCCTTGGCGCTTTTCATTTGTAGTTTCTCTCTTGTTGTTACCCAGGGTAATTATATGTATTTATATTCGCACGCGTGTGTGTTCAAATACTTAGTTAGACGCTTGCCTGATAACGCCCCTTGGGTTTTCAATGGAAGATTAGCTAAATGTTTTCCCACTCGCCACATTGAGAACGTCAAAACGAAGGCTGATCGAATTAAATGCAAAATATAGCATTTTAATCGTAATCTCTTCTAGGCGGTTATTGAACCAGACAAGGCAGAAAACGGAAAATATATTAAATGCGAAGATCACCGGCGACAGCCACTCACGGCTGACCTTCTCTCTCATATTTTCTTCTGTAAATATTTAGCCACAGATTTCAGATTTCTGAATTTCGAATCGCTAAGAAAGCTACTGGCTGTTCCAGAGATCTTTAACCCCTCTTAAACCAAGAACCGAGGGTCAGTCGGAGTCAGCGCAAAAGGTTGAACATTCACTTGATGGCCAATCATATGTCATCACTGCAAATTCCAGAGCAAAAAGAACACACAGACACACTGCCAGCCCACACAAGCAAGAGAAAAAGTATTTATCAATGGAAAACGCCAACACAGAATAAAAACGAGGAAAAAAAAACCCGAGTTTCCTCGAGATTATGTAGAAATGTGTGCGTGGAATTGTATTATATTTAAATACAATTGCTGGGGGCTGATAAACAAAAGAACCGAGAAACACAATCGTTCAGACAGGCGGCTGTGTGATTTCCTCGAACCCTGCAGCTGTTCTGTTTGTTTTCCTTCAAGAAATTTATGTAAAAACAATAAACACTGGAATCGGGGGCTTCAGTGGGCGGCGGCACACAATATATATCCCTGACCACGAAAACAAACCATTCGCTGGCTCAATTCATTATTCGCCCATCAAATTCGTTTACAAAATCGCATTAAAGGAGCGCTGCGCTGTCTGGCACGAATTATTTACATATGCCGTAGATTAAATTGTGCCCAGTGGGAGGCATTCAGTCGGGCGTCGGCGTCGGGTTAATTGTTTGGCTTTAATTGCATTTGATATGGCCATAAAAGCGTTGCCCAAAAACCGTAAAGAAATCCAGAAGAGAAATGGCACAGATTGGCGGATATACATATATAAATTTGGCGAGAGCAGAACATCAGAGTGATCTGTGTGTGTATATAGAATAGTTCAAATAGTCAATAAAGTCCATTTGCTTGGAACAAAAAAAAGGAAAAACTTGAGGCAGAGTCGTCTGGCATTTTGGAATATAATTTGTGTTTGCCTTTTGTCTTGTCTATATCTTGTTGCTGTTGCTATTATTGTTTTCATTTCATCTGTATATCCCGAATATATCTCACTGAATGTATATTTTTTTGTAATTGAATTTTGGTTTATGAGATAAACGAGAGATACGAGAGAAATTCGCATGATTAGAATGGAATTTATCTCTGGCTAAATACAAAAATTAAAAACAATAGAATTCGCTTTGTTTCCTTCCTCTTCCGTCTTTGGTTTATATCTCGCCCACTCTCGCCTCTGTGCCAGTTCAAAGTCGGATAATTCCATGTGCTCCACCAGTCACGGGGCAATACATATATATATATATATAATTATAATCGAAGGAAAGAAACCACAGTGAGAACCCCAGATCCCATTCCCCAATGACAAAGTGTGGACGTCATTGCATTTGATCAGCTTTTGCTTTCATATGATTATAACTTAATTGAAATTAATTAGACGGGGTCAAAGCAGTCGGTCTTTGAGAAACTTTTATAGAAAAATATGGGGTGATGGAAAGTGTGTAGATAGTTATTTCTTGATACTGAATACTTGGATAATTGATTTCAATACTTTCAGAGATTAATGTTGCTAATAAAGTTGAGAAAGTTCATACAATAATTCTATAATTCAAAGGAATATCTAAAATTATAGAAAACTATTATTAAGAGGCTTACATCTTGGCCTAAAAATAGTTTAAAAATATTATTAGGTATTACGTTCTTTCCGAAATATGTTTTCTACACTTGATTTCGAATATAAAAATCCATACAGAGATGGAAATTACACTGATATAAAAAATATATTAAAAGACTTACAAACTTCTCTGAAGAAGCCTTAGAAATATTTTAATGTATTATTTTCTTCCCTAGATTTAGAGATGGAAATTGTATTCAAAAGTAATTCAAAAACAAATTAAAACAATTTTAATTAGATTTTTTGAACAGAAAAAAACACATTGAAAGGCGGAACCAGGCTTGGTTAACTAGGCTTTCCTATATTGCCGCCTGCCGCTAGTTGACGGGTTCATTGAACTGGGCCGAAAACCAATTTTCGTTTCTTCTGACCGGGTGACTTGTTTTCAAACCCAAACTTTCCGCTGACCACTGCAAGCGGGTCTCTTTATCAGCGCGTTGCACCCCCGAAAAGTCATTTGACCACTCTGAAAGTGCGCTACCATAAAAGAGCATGGGCCAGGTCTTCTCGCTTCCCGCTCCTCGCTCCGCTCGTGACTCACATGGCCTGTTCCATTGGAAATCGAGCAGCGAAGCGTGCCAGAAGCTTCGCTCTGGCTTGCCACCAGTTTTTTTCCCCCAGTTTTTTGTGTTTTGTTTTTTTTTTAGTGCTGCCGTTCGTGCAACACAAAAGCCACAATGCAGAACTACTGACTGAGGAAAACAAACTCGGTTTCAGTCAACAAAAAGTCTGCCCAGTGCGCGGAACACCGACAGCTATAACTTTATCACGAAGCAAACGTAATCAGAGAGCTAATTCAAGCCTTCGGATTCGTTCATTGCAGTTTTGAAGAGCCTCTCGAAAGCCCAAAGTCAGCCGGAGTTTGGCTGCCATGATGCGATACTCGGAAATCTCACGTGACCTGTCCATGGATAATCTGCGCTACTCAGAGGTGAGTTTACTGACTTCCAACTTAAAGAAACTATGTTTATATGAGCAAATCTTCTCGTCCTTGCAGCTAAGCAGAAAACCCACCACGGACTACAATGGATATACGGGTCAGGCCTATGCCACGGCTCAGTTCAAGCAGAGTTCGCCCCCGCCTGCTCCCGCAATGCATCAGCAGCCAACGCGACTGGTGGCCAAACAACGAAGCCCCAATCCGAATGGCAATGCCCATACCATGGCCTGTTTGCGCCAAGAGAAGGCCCAAAAGGAGCATCAGATGGAGCCGCCCATGACGCAGCAGCAGGCCAGCAAGACACTGAATATAAAGAGCACGCGGCGCAAGAACTCAATTGGTTGCCTAAACAGTTTCTCCTCCTCGCCAGATTCACCAGGCTGCTACTATACCATAGCGTAAGTGATCTTTTTACAGAAACTTTTTAACTTTAAATACGATTTGTAATGAATTTTATTTATTTTCTAGAGCCTCGGCTGCACCGCCGTCCAAGTCGCAGAGTTTGCCGGCTCATGCCTCATCCATCAAACAGCTAGATGCGGTGATCTGTAGTGCGTTACGTGTACCCGCCGATGTCTTGGCCAATCAGATCACCCTCCTGGACTTTCCAGTCTTTGCTCTCATCCAGCCAGACGAGCTGAGCAGCTGTGCCTGGACGAAGAAGGATAAGCATGTCAACACACCGAATATTGTGGCATTTACCAAACGATTTAACCACACGAGCTTTTGGACAGTTCAGGAGATCCTAAATGGCGAGCAGGCCAAGCAGAGAGCTGAGATAATGACACACTTTATTAAGGTGGGAAAATTATATACTAAAAAACTTAGTTATTTGCTAATAAACTTTATATTTTAGGTGGCTAAAAAGCTGCACGAGCTCAACAATCTGCACTCGCTGTTTGCCATTATTTCGGCCATGCAAAGCGCCAGCATTTATCGCCTGAAGAAAACCTGGGCCTGTCTGTCCAAGAAGGATCGTCAGTCCTTTGATCGACTCAGCGATATTTTTAGCGACCAGGATAATTGGGCGAATCTGCGATCCTATCTTGAGAGTCTCCGCCTGCCCTGCATTCCCTATCTGGGTCTCTTTCTCACCGATCTGATCTACATCGATCTGGCGCATCCACACAAGGGTGGTTTGGAACCAGAGCAGCGTCGCAATAAGATGAACAACATATTGCGCGTGATCTCCAACTATCAGCAGTCGGATTACAAGCACCTGCAGAAGCATGAGGCTGCGCAGAAGTATCTTACCTCCATCAGATATATAGAGGAATTGCAAAACATATTCGAGGAAGATCAGTACAAGTAAGAGGAGCTTACTCAACTATAAATTATAAACTGTATTAATTTTATCCCCATTTCCTTTAGACGCTCATTAAATCTAGAGCCTGCCTCGCCCTCTGGGCCCAGCTCTTCATCCTGCAGTTCCAAGGAGTCCTTTAACGTGGAAGTTGTCACCCCAGCTTTGGGCTGTTTGAATCTCTCGCCGGCCAAAACCATTGGCTCTATGCGCATGGCCAGCGGCACCAAGTTCGTGCCGGGTCATCGCAAGTGCCGGAGTCTGGGCACCAAGTAAGTAGAGGATTTACCCACAGCCTAGGGCTATTCCCCTTTGGTTTCCTTTGTTAACCACCTCAACTCACTGCGCAAATAATTGGACATGTGTACACCGGGTCCTTTATTAATCTTTTTAAACCACGTCTCGTCTCGTTTCGATCTCTCTGTCTCTCCCTCACTCGACTCTCGTTTTGCTTTTGGCTTATGCTTTGGTTTAACCGCGTGTGTTTGTTGTTTGTCTCTAAAACTGAAAGATTTCGCAGCAGCAGCCTGCCGCGTAACTTTGCCCAGAAGTGCCAGTGCTGCATTGTGATGATAGCGCCGGGCATTGGCACCATATCGAACAAGGGTTGCAGATGCCGTCGGTGAGTCCTGTAGCTAGGATATGTGTGTGTAATGCCAGCCTGTAACCGAATAACCAAAACTATATGCTGATCCGATGCGTTATTCTCCTCATTTTACCCACCATTTGAAGTTGGTAGTTGAAAGTTTTCATTTCATTTATTTTGCACGGACCCGAGTTGGAAAAGCTTCGTATGAAAAAAAAGAAAAACACACATACACAAAGAAAATACACGCCTCCACACCTTCCTCATTACATTTTGTTTCAGATTTTTTACACATATCACACACTTCCCTTCCAATTACATTAAAAAAGAACAAGATTTTGGTCGAATTTTTAAGAGAATAAGTCAATTTTGGGCGAAATCTAAGGAGAATCAATGGTTAATTTATGGTTTAATTTAGAAAAGTAATAACGTTTAAAGTAGTAAAGCAATTATTAACCACTTCCTCCTTAGTATTTCACAAAAAACTTACTGGTTCTCTCCTTAAAAAATCAACCAAAACCCATTTATAAATACAAACGCAGTTCATCCTTGTTTGCCTTTTGCTACTTCATTTCTTCTCATTTGATTGAACAGCATGAATTGCTCTCAAACCACCAAAGAATACCCTACTAAACCATTTTTCTTTGCAGCATCTTTGGCAAAATTGCGCCGCATGCCCACGGCGATGGTTATCCCCAACACCTGCACTTGGAGCTGGATCCCAGCCAGCAACAGCCACGCCACCACCTGCTGGATGATTCCTTGCTAGAGCACAGCGACGCCATATCCCAATCGGATCTCACTTCGCTGGAGAGTGCCGAGGGCATAATGTGCGATTTCAGTGGCAGCGACTGCGATTTGATGTCCCCCGAGGCGGCAGCCGCCATGCAGGGATGTGTACGTCGGAAAACTGTCCAGAAAGAGGGAAGAAAGCCGGCGGTGGCTTCATGGCAGCGCTACTGGCTGCAGATCTGGGCCAATTCGTTGGTGTACTTTCCGCCAAAGTCCTTTAAGGGCAGCGAACGAAGCGATTTCAAAAGGGAGCCCTGCAAGGTGTGTCCCCTGGATGGATGGTATGCCCATGTCAGCGACAATACCAAGCACAAGAACACCTTTGAGCTGTGCCACCGAACCCTGGGCACTGTCTATCGCTTCCGGACGGACAGTCCCCAGATGACGCATCTCTGGTCGAATGCCATCTGCAAGCTGGCCACCATGCGCGTGCCCAAACCGCTGCCCGCCAACCTGATGTCCTTTGAATGAGCGGGGAGTAGGGAAGAGCAAACAGAACTCGAATATATATATATATATTGTACTCATTGTAGTGTAGTTTGCCTAAGTTTAGTTAGCTTTATCCTTGAAACGTGCACAGCCAAAAAGAGAGAAAAAAAAACCACCCACCAAAACCACTCACTCACTTCCTGAAACGAGGCCACCACATAACATTCCCACAACCACAACGAACGAACAAAAATTGCAGCCTGCATCTAAGAGAATCGATTTCAAAATGGTATTTCAAAAGACTGACACCAAAGGAGGAGAAACAGAGCAGAACCAGTAGTAAACGAAGGAGAAGAAGCCACACAATCAACACAACAGACTAAAAGAGCATCGCAAGGGATATTATAAAGATCCCAAAATTGTTTAACAGCCCTGAAAATCGTTAATGATAGAATTGGGGGAATTATATTTCCCCAAATTCAATAGATCAGGGCTGTCGTATCGTTTCTGTGCTGTCTTTGCTGTATGTTTTTTTTTTTTTTTGTATTTGTAAATCTTAAAATTAAGTCAATTATTTGGACATTTACTCAACTTTATTTTGCGCTAATCGTGCCATACTAGTTCTAAATTTGTGTTCACACAACGATTACTATAACAAAGAATCAAAAAAACGAACTTTCTACGCGTAACTAAGGGCTTTAATATGTAATGTATCGCTACCACTATTCATGATTCATGATCAACCATCAGTTAATCTGTATAATCTGCCTTAAGTTGATGCACTCTAGACATGTAACTACAACTATAAAATACATATAAATCTTATCCGATTAGTTGCATGCGTGAATTTCTTAAGCAAAACGAAAGTAATGTTTGTTGTCTGTTGAGAGGGCCTCGTGAATTGTTCAACTCCTGAGCTTTGTCACACATACAGATTTTTCATTTGCAGCGTTTTTACACTAGTTTAAGGCAAAGAAATGCAACAAAAACAAATTAAACCACAAAACGAAAGAAAGAAATGTGTGTTTTTTGTGGGTTATATAAGGCTACCGAAAGGGTTATTTACACACAAATCAGATCGTGCCAAGTGCGGGAATTTGCAAATTCATTCGCACAGACGCACTGAATCCCAATTAGGGAGCATGCCGCGCGAGGCCTTTAAAATGTGGAGATTGTCTAGCAACGGCGCCAGTCGATTGCGAAACATGACGACGACGCGAAGCAACGGCAACAGGATGGAGGAGACATATCCATGGATCAGTATTAACCATAAGCCCCTGCTGATGCTGCTGGTCTTGGCGTTTATTTGCCTCGGCTGCTGTCTGGGCGGCAAGACAACCACCTTGTGAGAGGATTACACAACCATCCAGCCCACTAGACCACTTTCACTAAACTATCTTCCTTTCCCCTACGACCAATGTGCAGTGTGCGCCACACAGACACCTTGGATCCGCAGGCCGACGGCTTCTGGGCCAACAAGACCACCTGGAACGCCCGCTGGGTAAAGTACTGGCGGGCAAAGAAAATCTACGAGCCCATCTGGAAAAAGGTCTGGACGCCCACTGTCCACAACGAGTGGGTGCCGCTGCCCAATGCCCCCAACGAATGGGAAGCGGAAAAGGGCCATTATTCGGACAAGTAAACACCGATGACAGACTGATCCTCCATGAACTACCCATTAGCTTAGTTTTTAGTTATTTATCTTTTATTTTGTATTCACTTTCGGCTGGTAATTAAAACCTAGAGATAATTTAAAGTGGCGCCAAGGCAGATGGAAGTGGATGGATGGCCTTATGAGCTAGCGACTGGTTTACGACTATTTACAAGGAGCTGGTGGGGACTGGGCGTCTCAGTGATGCAATGGCGGATGCTGAACGACGCCTACGCGCCGGGAAACTTGAATGACTGCGAGGTGGCTGCCACCGAGGCAGCGACGGGAACGGCCACCGGTGAGTTGGCCGCCTCCAGGGCCTTGGCCTGGAAGTCGGCACTGGCCACAGGCTGTAGGAGCGTGGGCTTTCCGGCAGCATTGGTATCATCTCGTTTCCAAACCACCTTATCCTTTACAGCCGATGTTGCGGGAGCGGCAGCAGAGGCGGCGGTACCGGTATCCTTGCGATCCCAATCCCAGCCATGTCCGTGGTGCTCATGGTGCTCATGGTGGTGATCGGGGGAGGGGAACCATTCAGAGATGACCACGGGCTTCCAGATCTTTTTCCAGCCAGGCACCCAGATCTCCTTCCAGCCGGGCACCCAGATCTGCTTCCATGCCTCCTTCCATTCCTGGAAAAGAAAAAGAAAAGTAAGGAAGAGTTCAGGATTTCATTTTTAAAGTATTTAATATTTATTTATTTTAATATTTCATATATTATTTTCTAAACTTACCAACTTATCGGTCCAGATTTCCTTCTTGGCCGGTTTCCAGTACTGCTTCCATGCCTCCTTCCACTCCAGCTTCTTCTCGGGCACCCAGATTTGCTTCTTGGCTGGCTTCCAGATCTTCTTCCAGTGCGACTTCCAGACCACTTTCTAAAAGGTTTTAAAATATATTCGAATTTAGAAGGTACTTTCTTCTAAAGGGAGTGATATACGAACCTTCTTCCACAAATCGTGGCTAGTGTACTCCCAACCTTCATGATCCTTGCCCAGATATTTTTCACCGGGAATGCCAACCTGAAAGTTAACAAGAAATATATTAAATAAAAACAAGAAAGAAAGCTAACTTTGGCCAGCCAAAGTTTGTATACCCTTGCAGGTAACAATTAAAATATATCATAACTAAGCCAAAAATGCATTAATTTCGATTCGGTAAGCAGTTTTGTGTTAGTTTTTATTCATTTAAAAAAACTGCATACCAAATTTAAAATTTTAAGAAATCAAAATTTTTGGCCATTTTTGCTAATTTTAATGATGTTACCCCTTATGAAATTTCGCAAAAATGGCCAAAAATCGATTTCCTCCGGACATGTCTAGAAAGATTCCCCTGCTGATGCTGATCAAGAATATATATACTCTATAGGGTTGAAAATGATTCCTTGACTTGGAAAAATATTATTTTGTATTATAAAATCGGATTTTTTATATTAAAAAACTTCTTGATATTTTTTAAAATTAAAAATATCATAACTCGGCCGAAAGAGCATTAATTTTAAATCGGAAAACTGTTCTGTGCAAGATTTTCTACAGTTAATAAATCTGCATACTTTATTAAAAAATGTTGAAAATTCAATTTTTTATCAAAATCAAAAATTTTAATGGTTTGATTTTTATCAAATTTCGCAAAAATGGCCAAAAAATCGATTTCTTCCGGACATGTCTAGAAAGATTCCCCTGTTGATGCTGATCAAGAATATATATTGTTTATGGGGTCGGAAATGATTCCTTGACTTAGAAAAATATTATTTTGTATTATAAAATCGTATTTTTTATATTAAAAAACTTCTTGATATTTTTTAAAATTAAAAATATCATAACTCGGCCTAAAGAGCATTAATTTTAAATCGGAAAACTGTTATGTGCAAGATTTTCTACAGTTAATAAATCTGCATACTTTAATTTAAAATTTTGAAAATTCAATTTTTTATCAAAATCAAATCAATCATTTTAATGATGTAACCCCTTATAAAATTTTTCAAAAATGGCCAAAAAATCGATTTCTTCCTGACATATCTAGAAAGATTCCCCTGTTGATGCTGATCAAGAATGTATATACTTTATAGGGTCGGAAACGTCTCCTTCACTTCTGACTCAAAATTATAATACCCTGCAAGGGTATAAAAATTGATTTAAGAGTTTAACTATTTAAGGTTTACCTTGACCAATTCTGGTGTCCAAATCTGCTTGTAATCAGGCACTTGAATGTCCTTCCAGGCGGGCACTAGAATCTCTTTCCAATGGGGAACCTTAAAAATTAAAAAAAAAAAAATTTTATTAATATCAAAAGAAAAGGATAATGATTTTTCAAGAGTGCCTAAGTCAAGAACCTACCCAAATCTGCTTCCAGGCAGGAACCTGGATTTCCTTCCAGCCGGGCACCTTTACCCAATGGGGCTTCCAGATCTGAAATATAAGTAAAGTAAATGTAATAGAAATATAAATTATTATTTTTCTAACTTTTTTTTAATTTAGTTCAGTTTAAATTTTGTAAAATCTCTCACTCACCTTCTTCCACGAAGGATTCCAGATCTGCTTCTTGGCCGGATTCCAAATCTTCTTCCAGCCCTCCTTCCAGGTCACCTTCTTCTTCCAATACCCGGGATCGTGATGATGCTCATGGTGTTCGACATGTTCGTGAATGTGATGCTCGTGGAACAGAGAATCACCCAGTCCCCCGAGATCGATCCTCTGCTGGGCGACGCTCTTGCTGTCCACCTGGGAAGCGGCAGGCTGCTGGTCCACGACAGCCTTCGAGTGGCTGCCAACGATGGCCACGGAGAGCACACCGAGCAGACCCAACTGCAACACGAAGAAGAAGATACCATCAAGTGACTTAAGCAAACAAGCCGAGATACAAATCAAATGATTTGGGAAACAAACTTAAAGACAAATCAAATGACTTAGGAAACAAACTGAGCAAGGGATGCAAGAGACATCAAGATCATGGCTAATGAATTCCATATTCTCCAAAGAAAGGTGAGTGACTGGAAACGAGTTTTAAGTGGGTCATAATCTGGCATTGTCTGGGCCGCCTCCAAGAGAGAGAGAAAGAGAAATGTTGCATCATAACTTGCCGCCGCCGCTTTGTGATGTTTATTATTTCGTGCCAAGCCTGACCTGGGTCAAGACCTACTTGCTGCCGATGACAAATAACGACGCAGGGCAAAGACTTTTCAGGTCTGCCCCTCTTTATTTGGTCAATTTGTTTTATTATGTAAATTTCCCTTATATTGTAAAGCCAAAAGAAACACAAACATGGAACCTGGCTGGGGAGTGTCGCAAGCCAGCTGTGCTCTTTATTTGGAGAATCCAACAAGGTCACAGCAGCAACCAACGCCTTTTGGGATTTCGCAAAATCAGACCCGATTTGTGGCTACAATTTCAAAAGCCCACTACCTAATCCCAATCAATTTGCGCATAAATGTCAACGAGGTTCGATTATGAAATGGAAATTAGCGCCAGCAAAAATTATCTCATCGCCGTGCCACGAATAGTGCTAATTGTAGCAGATCGATCTCGTGCCGGCTGCCCCTACAAATCGTCGTTTGTGGGCAGTGAAAGCTGCGCTGACGGGTTTCGCCTGCACCAGTTGGATCATCGGTCGTGAGGGAAAAGAGCTGCCGTGTCGCACTGCACCCCAATGGATATGTATGTCCGATGGTCGCTAATGAAACGATCGCGATTTTAATTGTTGACAATGCGACGGAAGGGAATCGGAATCGGCAGCAGTATCGGATGGAGCAACCTGGCCTGGCTTGGGTCTAATACAAATTGCATGGATCGTGATGTTGACCAGTAGGAAGAAAGTGTTTTTCTTTGGCCAGTTTTTAAATCCCTTTTTTCCTCAGTCAATGGGTAATGGAGTTGGATAGGAAATGATTTAATTCGTGGAAATTTATAACATTTAAGGAAAAATTCATGAAAATTAAATGCAGGTAATTAAGGTAAACTTGAGATTTGATTTTTAATTACTTTTGGCTTAATTTTTATAGGCTAAACAGCTGCTTGACCTTTTGTACAATACTCCAAAATGTATATATAAAATATTTCCTGAATTTAAGCTGGAGTAAAACTATTTTAAATACTAAAATTAAATACAACTTTTGATTTTATACTATCATTTGGATATTTTTCTATATTCTTTAGTGAAGAATCTATAGATTTCCCATTTCTCTTAAATATTTTTATGTAATACCAGAGAACCTTATAGTAAATATTCCTATTATAGCTTTAAATATTTGTCAAATAATCTATAAAATATTTCCCCATTATGTCTAATGTAATTATTGCTTGCTTGCTTCTTTAATTATTTTATTAATATTACTTTTACGTACACACCTCCTAAAATCAAAACACACAACAAGGTTACCCAATCTCTTGCCATAAAATTTTTCAAATTTATCGCGTAAGTTTACCGAAAAAAATCTTGCAATTTCCTTCAAGGAACTCACTGAGGCGTAAATCCCCTACGAAAATTGATTGCAACAACAGAAAACAGCTGCAACATTGCCAGAGCTATGCAAATATAATAAAATAATTGCCAACTTTGGGCCCAAGTACACCATTAGTTCCACTTGTTTGCAGTACCACCCCCATGTCTCCATGTTAATTTCCATTTCGCGACACTTTTCTTGTATATTTTGTTCGTAATTACCACAAAGTGCCGCTGGATCCTCATGGCTCCCGATTACAGCTGGTGAAAACGCTTAAGATATAGCACTATCTGGGTATGCACTATTCCGGCGGGTTGTAGGTTTATTTATCACTTTGTGCCACTTGGGGGGTTGGTTGGGTTGGGTGGCTGTTACCACCTATTTGGCCACTTTCGTGGAATCGACTGTCGCGCCGAAGATCGGGCACCTACGGTTAAATAGACGCGCAGGTGCAGCCGGCGAAATGAGAGCAGGCCCTGTGTCTGTCTTACTCTCTTACTCTCAGTGTTTCTCCAGTGAAAACGAGAGTCCGAAGCCCAGAGCCAGACCTTGAATTTTGATAACGGTTTCGTGTGTAAACAAAGCCAAACAGGCCAAGCTTTTGCTCCCAAAAGCTTCAAGACAAGCCAAGCCGGCTTGAGTCTCTCTTTGCCTCTCTTTCTTTTCATATATAACCCTCTCTTTTTTAGTATATATATTTTTTTATTAAATTTTTTATAGCTCTTTTTGGGTCTGGAGAGACGTGACTTGGTCTGCAGGCTGCTCCAAATGTTGTAATCGCCACGAAAAAGCTTATGGCCATAAATGTTATAAATCTCAATAAAGAAAAAAGTTCAGTAAAGGCAATGCAAATTAATGGCACGCAATGGCTAGGAAATCAACGAAACAAACAAATCGAAGACGAAGAAATAATAAACCCACAGCCTATTGCGTTTGTCTTTTCGGTTTTTTTGTTGTTGTTGAGTGATTATTGTTTTTTGGGAATTCTTATTGTCCAATCGCCGCGAAGGTCGTCACGTCTGCGGCTGGGATTTTGATATGCCAGGTGGTGTGGCATTAATTAGATAGTTTTTAATGTAATTTATTGTCCCCAGCCATCGTAACTCGGTTAAGGGCAATGCTCGTGGACGTGCCTATTGGTTTAGATCCCCCATTCATCCCCATTAGTCAATGCATTTTTGCATGTGCAAGCCGGGCTAGTTATGTGGCAACACTTGGCCAAATGGCTGGAATCCGTTAAAGACAATAGACTGCATTTCTTATTTTTCAGTTTTTCATTTTTCATTTTACCATTTTCCATTTGATTTCATTTCCTGCCACTTTTTAAGTTGGGATCCAAGACATGCGGAATACCGCTCTTTAAATGGTTCGATTCATTTGGCCAAAAGCAAGTTAATTGCATGTTGATTTAATTTCAATTGAATGAGCTGCCTGGCCAGGGAGTTCCAGGTGCGTGTGTGTTGGCTCTGGGGTTCCGTTATACTACTTTGTGGGAAGTACTTAATTAGTTGCATAATAACTATGAATTAAACTACAAAATAACCGCCAAAATAGTGTTAGTTCTCTGCTGTCCTGTATGGACTTTCACTCCCTGCCTTTCACCCTTAATGGCCTAGCCATCAATTGCCTCCTCCGACAGCCAGTTCCACCCTCCGTACAAGGAAGTGCCAAAACGTGATTCAGCACCGGACAACTGAACCGAAAATCATATTAATATTCATCAATTTGAGATAGATACCATACATATATAGAGTCCCCTTTCAGGAAGTGCAGCCAAAGAAAAACTGGACTGAAATGCGTAACAACTTGCCCATGGCCATGCGTTCAGTTTAGACCATGTCCTCCTCCTCCGATCACCTTCTCCTTATCCTCCTAGCTTTTCCTAGCCACTGAAACTTCAAGCTACAAATCGCAGACGGTGTTGAACCACTTTTACTTTCCTTTCCCCTCTCTCTCGCTGTGCAGACTGATGTGATGTGGAGTTTTATTTTTTTATTTATTTATGCCTTTCATGATTATTCATCTTATCGTCGGCGGTAATCGGTCAATGTATGCGGAGGCTACAAGGGTGTTTGCTGTAGTGGTTTCTGCACAGAAAATAAACAATGCACAAAAAAACATAAAAAACATTAGGTGTTTGTATAGAAATAAATATAGATTTACAGTTTCAGCTGTAAATCTTTCACTAAGAAATATATTTGAAGTGAAAGAAATTGAAATGCGTTTTTTAACATATTTAAAATTTGAATAATATGCAAAGAATGTTAATTATTATTTATTTAATCATTTTGTTAAAGAAAAAACATGTCTAATATTATTTTAAAAGCTCTAGAAAAATATTAAAATATTTTTTATAATATATTTTGTAATCTAATAAGTTACATTACGCTTTAAATAAATTGTTATAAAATAAAACACATAAATAATAATTACAAGAGGCAGATACCCACATATAGAGATACTTTTTGTCAGTTAAAAAACTCACGAAAAAAGCTTAAAGATAAATGATAAATATAAATTAAAGTGAGCCTGCTAATACATATTCCAAAGAAAATCTAAAAAATACATGTACTATTTCATGGTAAATAACTTTTCTCACTTTCTCTATAATCATGCAAAAATATATAGGTTTGTAGTCATCTCTGGCAGTTCAATAATTAAATCTCTTTAGGCCACTGAATGCATCATGAGATTGTTTAATTAATAATATATAAATATATGGTTAAGCCACACACTCCATACCTAGTTTTTTATGCAAATAGCCAATCAAAAAGATATCTTATAAAATTTGTAAACAATACAAATTTTATAAGATATCTTTTTGGCTGTGCAACAGCGCCACATCTGCAATCGGTTCCGGCATGAAAATTAGAGCAACATTTGGCATGCATTTCCTAGCTCTCTGGCGCGTTGGCTGATTTGAATTGCCAAAACGATTGCCAAAGCGATCGCAGATTGTCCCGGAATGGCTATCGACCATGCCGAGTGGGTGTGGGGCTGCATAACTCTGTCAGGCTAGAGGCGTGGCCAACGCCCACAGGCCCAAACTTAAACCAAATCGCACACATGCCAATGAACTGACACCTTCTTTTATTTATATATTTTATATTTTTTGTTGTTTTTTTATTGTGCTGCTCTTACTTCCGATTGAGTTTTGGCTTCCTGCTTGGCCACCGAAAAATAGAAAATAAAAATAAGCAAGGAAGCTGGACGAAATGCTTTGACAAAGTGCGTGAGCCACAACAAGACGTGGTTGTCGCATGGATGTAAGCCCATAAAAGGCCGATTGGGTAGGCCAGTTTGGTGGGCGCCTTAAGCGAAGGCTTTCCACTTGTTTTCTGCTACAGTTTCCGCAACAACTGCAATTCTGGGAAATTACTGAACTTCAATTACACCATTTCCAGTTCATTAAAGACAAATTTTGCCTGAAGGTCAACCCGCCAGATGTGTTGACACCGTTTACGAGGCAAAACGAAAGACTTAAGGCACGAACTCTGCATGCAATTCATGACCATAACAATGCGACTGCCTGAATTATGTCTCTTTCCTATGGCCCACTGCCATCGGCGGTGCTTCGATGTGTCATTTGCATACCCAAAGACAGTCGTTCGATTGCCTATTAATTTGCTCAGCATTTTTAAGTCAACTCGACTCAACGGCCGCATAATGAGAGACGCACTGGCGCCCGCTGCCTTGGGTCACTTGGACAGTTTGGACAGCTTGCGGAAATGCAAGTGGTCCGTAAAACTGGTTCACTTCGAGTTCACTGACCCAGGCCAAGCGATTGGGCTTGAAATTGAGCAAATAACACGTCATTGGAATATGTAAAGCCAACATTGGTTTAGTATCTAGTTAATGCCACTTAAGTAAATAGCTTTTTAGTGTGATGTATCCTAAGTCCATTATATTTTTTTTTAGATTTATAATCGGAACAAAAGGAAGTCGATTTATATACTATATGCAAAATAAGTAGCTTGTGGGTAATGGAAATAAAAATAAGTACGGTTTGTGAAATGTATATGATTTAGCCTTGATTTTTCCGGTAAAATTAGACTTTATATTTCGACTTCCCTGTCTAGTTTCCTATTTAATCGAATTAATATGACTTGAAAGTATTTAAGCTGACTTTATAATATTTATTTAGCATTTTCTTAAGTTTGTTTTTGTAGTTAAAAGTTACATTTAACAATTAAAACCCATTTACAATCTGTTTTATGATTCGCTTTTAAAGAGGTTTTAATTGTAGAAACAACTTGAAATATATTTTGAAATTATTTAAACACAAAATTAAGCGATAGACTTAATTAATTCATTAATAAATTTTCTCTGTATTTAATTTTAAAAACTGTTTAAAAATGTAAAGAGTTATTTTAAACAAATAAAATACAATTTTATGTGTATAATTATATCTTTTTATTTATTAATTTCTAACAGTAATATTCTAAATTATATTTAAATAACTATAAACCCCTAAAAAAATCTTTAAAAATCCCGGAAATATTTTTCCTCATTATTTTCCTAAGACCTCCCAAGGCGGGCTCTTCAAACAAACAAAGACAGACTCCCGTGTGATGGCGAATATTTGTCGGATTAGCCGCTAACTATGTGGATCAACGGAGATCGGAGTGCCAGTAGCCAGTAGCCCGACTTGCCTCACTCGGTCAGCTGCAGTCACGCTCGCCAATTGACTGGGACATGCAAACGACCGGCGAGCTGGCGACTGATTGCATAATTGCAGCCGCTTTCTGGCGTTGGCGTTGGCAGAAACGGAGAGATGGAAGCTCCACACCACACCACACATGTGCCAATCAATTTCGTTTCCGTTCAAATCCGGCTTTTCAGTTTTTCCCCCTGCAAATAAATGAAAACTGCTCACTTGCCAGGCGAAGGTTCAAGGAGGCGCCACAGGAAAATCCGGTCGAGCTCAGTCGTTATGTTATTGCGTCACAGGTGTTTAATAGTAAACTTTATATATATTTAAGAAAGGGATGTTTTCTTATATTTTCAAGTAAGGAAAATTGTTAGATAATCTTACTGTGATAATTTGGGTACTCTATGTTCAAGGCAAGACAATCAAAAAATGTTGAAATCAGTGTACACTATAACTCAAAATCTACTGGATATTTAGTTTCTATTTTTAATTAATATTCAAATTTAAATGAAGTTAACGGACATGAACGGGCGACCAAAAGTACCAGATCATCGGAGCACAAGCGAACAGTGCTGCCATACAAATTTCTTAACGCTTTTTATTGAGAAAAACCGAAAGTTAGATGGTGCCAACGCAAAAGCTCTCTCTTTATTTATACAATAGGTGTCGCGGCTGAGCCACTTCCTTATTTTTAATCAATTTTTTAAAGTCATTAAATATTATACAAAAATATATATC